CAAAAGCCATCTGTATGGTCTCCAGGATTCCCTTTTCCCCCACTACCCTCCAGCCACAACTGGATGTCACAAACACTGAGGTTACATATATTTCCTGGCTGAACTCCTTCACCAGGCATGAAGTCCTTGGTAACTGGGCACTTTGTTCCCCAGTCTCTTATTCTACTACTCCCCACGATCACACTCCCTCAAAAGGCCTCACTACTCTGTACAAGACATGATCTTTTTTATTTGCTTTTTCCCTCCTGGTGATAAAAGTAATTGAGGATTACTGTAGAAAATAGAGACAACACAGCAAGATTTAACCACTGTTAGTCACCAATATACTTATTTTCAGTCTTTTCTATGTATGCATATTTCAGAAAACTGGGCTCTCTGTACCCACCACTTAATTTTGTACTTAGTATTTTCCATTTAATGTCATAAACATTTTATATCACTAAATAATTCTTTTGATTACTTTAGTGGTTGCATAATATTTCATCATATCATAGCTTAATCATTCCCTTACTGCGAGTTACTTGGATTGTTTTCATTTTTTGTAAAATAACACTGACAAGTATATAAATGTCAAAACATTCATTTTTCAAATACAGCTAAGTGGTAGTACTATATCAAAGCATTTCAACATTCTTTTTAAATGTTTTAACTTCCCCTGAAACGATAATAGATTAAAATGGCTTAAAATGTATAAATAATAACGGGATAAGGCAAATAAATTTCTATAAGATGTAAAACAGATGAACTGGTAACTGAGAAAGTTGCATGGAGGAATTAACAGCTTGGGATACTTGCTGAGGGCAATACAATGGAAGGAGGTAACTGATCTACCCTGCCAAACCCCAGAGCAACTAGGGCCTTGGAAATCTCAGGTACATTAAGGAAGGAGAAGAGAGGTGAAAAATAAAGGCATTAACTGAAGGTCTAGAATAACACTTGATTCTCTTCTAATTCCTAGAGAAGCACTTATAGCATCCAAACCCCAGACAAAAACATCAGAAGATTTCCTGCTAATGCGGCAGATGAGTCCCAGACTAAAGATTTCAGCATTCTGGCATTTAGAGGTTTCCAGGGAAAAAGCGTGCTCCCCACTCCACACACAGAGGTCTCCATTGGACTTCTGACACTTTTGTGTGTGTCATTAAGAATCACAACATATCTGAGGAAAGTCTCCAATTAAAGTAAACCAGAGAAACAAAGATAAAAAGTGCCCAGGGTCAAGGGCATGAAAGGGTGAGATATCAGATGGCAGGGAAACCTTTAATTGGAAACCTTCTAATTAGAACAGATTTGAGGAGTATCTCTAAAATGAGAATAGCATGCTGCAAATAAAGAACAAACAGAAAAGACATTTCAGAATTAATTAAGCCAAAATAAGAAATTTGCTAGAAAGGCTGAAAAATAATGAAGGTATTGTCCAAGAAAATAGCACAAAACAAGGAAATGGAAATAACATAGAAAATAGTTTAGGATCAATCCGCAAGGTCCTACATTTGACTGACAGAAATTCCAGAAAGTAAAAACAGGGGAAAAAAAATACATGGAAAGGGGTAACACAAGAACATTTCCAAGAATAAAAATACCTGAGTTGCTAGATTGAAATATTCCATGGAGTATACTGGGAAATTGAGTGCACAAAGAATAAAGAGGAAACTCTTAAAAGCTTCCAGGCATGGGGGTAGGGGAACAGACCACAGGAATACAAATAATATTTATTGACTGTCAAAGAAATTAGAATCAGACTGGAATAAACCTCCACAAACTTGTGGGGGAATTTTTCCACGTAGAATTTCAGAGCCAAAGGACCAATCTAGCTTGAGGGCAGAGAAAGATGTTTTTGATATATTAAGCACTCAACATTTTGTCTTCCATATACTCTTTCTTAGCAACTCACGTGAAGATATGCTGCAGTAAAATGAGAGAGTAAATGAACAAATAGCAATTTACAATATGAACAGTACAATTCAGAACACAATGAAGCCCAGTATAACAAGAAAACAGTGGCCAGGAAAACATCAAGGACAGACCAGAGCAGGAGGCTGGAGGTTTCTTAAAGAGAAAAGGGGGACTCAACAGAGTACCTAACTGAATAGAGAATCTGAAAATAACTGAGAGTGTGCTAAAATCAATCAGTATAAAAAGAAAAAAAGGCAACTAGAAACTCCAGTAAAAACAAAATGCTGTTTCAAAAATATACATACAATCATAGTAAGCTACTTATATCTGCAGTGAACATTTACATGGTCAGAATAACATTCATGCTGTTTATCTTTTTTTTTCTTAATAGTTTATTGTCAAATTGGTTTCCATATAACACCCGTATTAATCCCCACAGGTGCCCTCCTCCATGCTATTTTATACTTTTAAAATAAATCAATAAACAAAGAATAAAAGAAAGAATAGAGCTCAAGAATTATCAGACTGGACATTGTCAGAGACAAAGAGGTTAAAAAGGGAAAAAGAAAGAAATGGCAGGGTATATCCCACATCTTAAATATGGAAATGAAATACTGTTTATAGTTAATATACTAAAACTAAATATTTAAATATAATAACTTTTTCCTGATTCTAAAATTCTTGTTCCTTAGAGAAAACATGGAAATTACTTAAAAAGAGAAAAAAGATTTTTAATCACCCATAATTCAATAATCTATATGGCCCAGGTTTGAGCCTAAGCTCTGCAATTTACTATCTGTATGTCTGTAAACAAGTCACTTAACCACTTACATCATTTTCTTATATTTCCTTCAGGCTATTTACCTATTACTTTTTAATAGCATGTAGTATATCTAACAACATTAAATGAGAATTGTACTGTATACATAATTGTGAATCCAGGTTGTTGTTGTTTTCTTTTCACTTTAAAGCATAGAGTGGATACATACCATATGCTCTTCCATACTTCTAAATGTATCCTTGCTACAGGGGAGTCAGAGGGTTCTCAGAGACAGGACTGGTATCAAATCTTAAAAGAAAAAAAGTTAGGCAAAGTAGACAGAGGTAGAGTAGGAAGTGGTGGTAATAAGCACCAAGGACAGTGTGAGCAAAGGCATACAGAACAAGCACATGCCTCCAGGTTGAAGTAAAAGGTGTGTGGGAAGTGAGGAGCTTAGCAAATCATGTTAAGGGGTCCAGGCAGGTTTCCGAGGAGATATCAGAAGAGAATTTGATAGACCTTGTTTGCCTTTGCACTCCACAAACTAGCACCATGTTTGCCACAAAGAGAGTGAATAGGAAGTACTGTTATAAGAGAATGACACATGGGAAACCAGAAATACCTCCTGGGTTTCCAGTTGGGGCATAATGCTGCCATCTGTTGAAGGAGGAAATCCAGGAAAAGCAAGATTGAAAAAGTTGATTGGGCAACACCCAGAGAATCTGACCTCATTTTTTTGTTTCAGAGCATACACGAGTAGGCAAGGGGCAGAGGGAGAAAGAGAATCTTAACTTAAGCAGACGCCCTGCCCAGTGCAAAGCCCCATCTCATGACCATGAATATGACCTGAACCAAAATCAGAAGTCAGAGGCTTAAATGACTGAGCCACCCAGGCACCCCCGGACCTCACTTTTTTTAGATAGTTTATTGTCACGTTGGTTTCCATAGAACACCCAGTGCTCATTCCCACAAATGGCCATCCCCACAAGTGCCCTCCTCTATGCCCATCACCCCCCTTCCCCTCACCTCCTACCCCCATCAGTCCTCAGTTTGTTCTGACCTCATTTTTTAAAAAAAATGTCACTGGTAGTGGGGCACCTGGGTGGCTCATTTGGTTAAGGAACTGAATCTTGGATCTCAGCTCAGGTCTTTTTTTTTTTTTTTTTTTTTTTTAACTTTTTAAGTTTGAGTGAGAAAATGGGGAGAGAGAGAGAGGGAGAGAAATCCCAAGCAGGCTCTGTACTGTCAGCATGGAACCTGATGTAGGGCTTGAACTCATGAACTGTGAGATAATGACCTGAGCCAAAATCAAGAGTCAGACGCTTAACTGACTAAACCACCCAGGTGCCCCTCAGCTCAGGTCTTAATTTCAGGGTTCAAGCCCCCTATCAGGCTCCACACTGGGTGTGGAGGCCATTTTAAGTAAAATAAAATAAATTAAAAATAAATGTCACTCATAATTATGTAGTGCATTCCCAAGTGTGACTTTACACCCTAAAGCAGCCAAGAACTGCCCTTAGAAAGCCTATCTGGCCCCCTACAAATGAGCACAAAACTGTATGTGCTCTCTGCATTTCTCCGGAAGAGGATCTTCAACCTCCATGAGTTCCTCAAAGGGGCTGTGACCCCAGAAAGACTGAGCACAGAATGGAGGAGCAAGCGAAGTGACAGATGTGGTAGGACAACTGCCCAGGCAAGGACGGGAGGGGACCCAGAACATAGAGGAATATTAGCTTTGTCCAAAACACCTCTTCCTGAGCCTGGAGGAATTCATGGGCAAATGTTTGAGGGGTGTAGGGGTGTGGGTATCTCAATGAAGAGTCTCTCATCTGTGCCCCCCAAAATACAAGATTTCATTATCACTTTCACACCACTGTGCTCCACTTAATACACAGCTGCTCGTCTCATTTGAGACTTCTTGGCTTTTTTTTTTTAATTTTTTTTAATGTTTTTTTTTAATTTTTTAAAATGTTTTTATTTATTTCTAGAAGAGAGAGAGAGAGACAGCGTGAGCAGGGGAGGGTCAGAGAGAGAGGGAGTCACAGGCTGAAACAGGCTCCAGGCTCTGAGCTGGCAGTCAGCACAGAGCCTGACACAGAGGTCGAACCCACAAACCGCGAGATCATGACCTAAGCGAAAGTCGGACGCTTAACCGACTAAGCCACCCAGGCGCCCCTTTTTTTTTAAATTTTTTAATGTCTTTATTTTGAGAGACAGAGACAGAGAGCAAGCGGGGGAGGGGCAGAGAGAGGAGACACAGAATGTGAAGCAGGCTCCAGGCTCTGTCAGCACAGAGCCTGACACGGGGCTCGAACCCACAGACTGTGAGATCATGACCTGAGCTGAAGTCAGACGCTTAACAGACTGAGCCACCCAGGTGCCCCTAGACTTCTTGGCTCTTAATACCCATCAGCTGGTCTGGCTCTTTGATAGCTCTTGACAACTTAAGAAACAGGGCTTAAGAGTTAACAACAAAAGAAGGAGCTGACCTCTGGGAAAAGGAAAACCTAAACCAACTCTGTCAAAAAGGAGTAGTCCCTTCTCATTTATCAGAAACCATACAGAAAAAGGAGGGCTGTAATTTATTTTGAGGGCTGGAGTTGAATTGGAAGCAAGAGTTGTTATTTGGATAAAGATCTGGTCCACTAGGCTCACATGATTTGTGAAGGACTAGAGGTCCTGAACCTGGGTGCAGATTTGTAGAAATCCAGACCTTGAGATGAAATACAGTAGAAATGTAAAAAGTCATTTTGTTGAATGAGGAATATAAAAGTATGTATAAAACTTAAGTTTGCTCATATAAATAAATAGTGTATCACTTAAATACAAATAGAGTCAGTCAGAGAATCCTCACAGCCAAGGTACAGAACACCCAGTACAGCCAATATTGTTAGCATCTTGTTTTGCTGAAACCACACAGAACACTATAGTGTGTCTACACATCCAGACCTTTATTCTACGGCTTCCCCACTCCATCTTTGATCACATGTATTTGTGGCCTACAGACTTTATTTGACTACAGTGGCCATTACCTTGGCAACACATTGGGTTCCCCTCCAGAACTAAAATACTTGGCTATGGGACTGGAAATTTTTAAGCACACTAGGTGATTTTAACATGCAGCCAAGTGAAAAAACACTGTTTCACTGCGAGGTTGGGTCTGATTCCCAAATCAAACTTCACCTTCACCTCACAATCACCTGAGTAGCCTTTTCTGTATTGCCTATGAATAGCAACCTTAAGCCAGGAAATCACAATCATCCATGATGAGCATTCAGTTATGAGGATGAACACATGATGTGAAGCTAAAACAATTTAACTGCCGCAATGGTCATAAGTCCCAGCTGGTACTTTTCAGGAAAGTACTTTTGGTCTCTTGATAGGTCCAGGTCACTGATTTATCCCAAATCTTCAGACCTGCTCTCCCTCTCTTCTGGGCTTCCTGATCCTGTGTGTGTGGTGGGGGGAGACCTAAGCTTGTTCCTATTATGCACATGGTCTTATCCTTGGGTCTCTCCACTGCTAGCTAGGGGACAAGAATAGAGACTGTCAGGGTCAGTGAGGACATGAGCATTTTTGATTCTCATTTTTGAGTTCTACTGATTTCTCATAGTTGTGTATGACTGACAGTGCAACTGGGAAAAGGTGCACATGCTTTGATAAAACACCATGATTGAAGGGAAAGGGGAAGAGAAAATAAACAAGCTTTCCTGTTTATATGTATGCCTTCTGTACACGGGAAGTGCTCTGTAAAATACAAATGAGCCATTAAGAGTCCCAATGGTGGGACTTCTATTGAGAGTCACACCAGATTGCTTATCAACAGGCGGGGCATTTATGATATGCGCTTCCTTGCTGAATGGGGTGAAGAGACAGATCCAGAACTTAGGAAACTCAAATCGCTCTCAGATTTGCTGCTTACTGGTTACTCTGCCTAAGGCACATCCCAAAATCTGTCACCTCAGCTTCCTCACCTGAAAATGAGACCATATACCCCTTTCTCAAGCTCTGCACAGATCCACGTGAGGATTACAGGTGGTCAGACACACAGCATGGCAGAACAAAGAGAACCCAGATTGAAATCCTGGATTTGAATGCAGGCTGCTATTTGCTGCTTGACCACTCTCAGATAGATGGACCAAACAATTCTTGCAGTGTTCTAAGGATTAAGGTAAGGATCTATGTGAAAGCATGAGAGAAGTGCTAGGAATCTTGTTTTTATACATGAAGGTGCGTAATCAAATTTAAAGAATTCATTTCTGTATCAATACAAGGCAATATTACATAACTACCTATTGCATAGTTTTATAAATCATTTTACTAAGAATAAAGGCTCAACGGTAACAAAGATTATCTTACCTTAGCCAGTTTCTTCATCCTTCTAAGTTTGCACATTCCAATACCTTTGAACTTCTCAAAAAAAAAAAAAACAAATTAAGACCTAAGGAGTCCCATTCTGCCTCTTCCCTCTCAGAATCAGGACTCCATTAGTTCTTCTAAAGACCAGCCAGAAAGTGAGAATAACACCCAAATTGAGACCCCTGGCTGAGCCTAAGCAGAATGAGCATAGACAACATGGGCATGCCTCTTGGCAAGCTTTATTCTTTGACTCCTCTATCTGGGAAGGGGAGTGTTACAGGCATCTTACTCCGATAGGAGTGCAATGGAAGTTAGGGTCACTTAGAGTTGTTGATCTTAGCAAATGAATACAGCCCAGTGCATCTGTGGCCCCCGTGTGTGGTCTCCATCAATCCTCAAGTGCTTGGCCATGCAGACTGGGGAATGGTCAAGAAGAGACTCGTCAGAGGTCCCCAGGGCTTTACTCTACCAAGGTTCACGAGTCATAGATAGTAAGAGAAACAGCTCTTTCCTACTTCTATCCATTTTAGGAGCAGTAGACAGTTAATAGGGTGTTTTTTGTTTGTTTGATTTTAATGTTTAAATTACCTAAGGAATGGAAAACTAGTACGTGTTCATAGGTAAGTTGTTGGTGAATTGCTACCCCAAGTGGTTTCCTTAATTAATCACTGCTTAACCCAAATACTAGAATACAAGGTTCAAAGCTCAGAATTCCACCAGGCAGACTTATACCAATAACCTGCCTGTTGCTCAGAAACTAGCAGGTTCAAAAAACAAAATTAAGCTAAAAATACCTTTCCTCAAACAGGATCTTTATCACTTAGCTTTGCATGACCCATTTTTAAGAAAGCCACATTCCATTTCAAACAGGACTACTGAGGGCAGAGTTTACAACACAGTCCTTGCCTTTAGATGCTTAGCTTTCACTTTCTTTAAGTCAGCCTCTGAAACGCTTGTCTTGTGTTCTGTGCTGCATTCTTGAAAACTGCTACTTATAACACGGCGCGCCTCATTTTTAGAGGAACAAAATGGCAAAGATGTATTCACTGAGGGGGCAGTGGATTATGATCAGCACCTGGAGTAACAAGCACTTGTCACTCGACAAGGTGCGTTCTGTGGTGTCGCATGAGGTGCGAGTTAGAAATGAAAGCCGCGCCACACCTGGCACACTCGTAGGGCTTCTCCCCAGTGTGGGTTCTCTGGTGCACAGTGAGACTCGACCTCTGCCGGAAGGCCTTGCCACACTCGTTGCACGTGTAAGGCTTCTCCCCGTTATGAATTCTCTGATGAATAAGCAGGTAGGAGCTACATGTGAAGGCTTTCCCACACTCGTTACACACATAAGGGAGATCTCCACTGTGAATCCTCTGATGCACGATAAGGCAAGAGAGCTGACTGAAGGCTTTCCCACACTCGCTGCAATCATAAGGTTTCTCCGCAGTGTGAATTCTCTGGTGCACAATAAGGTGCGAAAAACAACTAAAGGCTTTTCCACATTCTTTACACTCATATGGCTTCTCACCAGTATGGCTTCGCTGATGCACAATAAGATTTGCACTCTGGGTGAAGGCTTTGCCACAATCATTACAGGCAAAGGGCTTCTCCCCAGTGTGGATCCTCTGGTGGACAATGAGGTTGGAGCTCCGAGTGAACGTTTTCCCACACTCATTACATTCGTAGCATTTTTCTGTAATGTGGACTTTCTGGTGCCGAGCAAGTTGTGAGCTGTAACTGAAGGCTTTCTCACATTCGCTGCACTTAAAAGTTTTTTCTAAGGAGTGGATTTTTTGATGTACAGTCAGATTTGAACTCTGAGTGAAGGCTTTCCCACATTTTGAACAAACATACGGTTTCTGTCCAGTGTGGATTCGCTGGTGCACCACAAGGTTTGCACTCTGAATGAAAGCCTTCCCACACTCATGACATTCAAAGGGCTTCTCCCCTGTGTGGATTCGCTGATGCACTACAAGGTTTGCACTCTGACTAAAGCCTTTTCCACACACACTACACGTAAAAGGCTTCTGTCCAGGCTGGCTTTTCTGATTTTTAACAGAGCTAGAACTAAGGCTATACCTTTCCCCAGATTCCAGACATTTCTGGTCTCCCTCTACTTTGAAGCTGTCAGGTACGTGACAGTCCTTCACTGTCACTTCTCTGAAATCTTTCTTTTCCCTCTTGATCCTCTGCTTCTTTAACATGTTCCCTTTTTCACAGGCTTCTCCTAACTCAGGTCCTTGAGGATTAACTTTCTGGATGCTTCCTGGTATTATGAAGGGTTTTTCTGCTTCATCACATATCTCAGTTTTTGGAACCAGTAACTGTGGGTTCTTGGTTTCTGCACCTGAAACAATAAATAGAAAGTACAAGTGTCGACTTATTTTGGCCTAGAAAAAGAAGAGGATCACGAAGTGATACATGTCAGGAAGTATGTGACTTCAGTGTATGTAAAATGGCTTCATCAAAGGAAAAGTATCTCCCGCGTGTCACCTCTCTGTAAGCTCTTCTGCCAGGTCTACGCCCTCTCCCACACCTAGAGCAGAATCCACTGACTCATGGTCTTTCCGGCACTTCCACCCACTTCCACCAGACATCTAACCCACTGCCTCATGCCCGGGAAGTTATCTGCAGACATCTCTCCTGGTTGTATGATGACTGGTCTTGCCATTCAGACCAGTTATGAAGGACACTAGTTTCTCCCCAGGCTTGCCTTCTTACCTTAGCCAATTAGTGTGAATTTGCTTACAACTCAGCAATTAATTAAGGAGAGTCCCTCCCTAGGAATGAAGATCTATGTGACTTAGATTTTTGTGTATGAGGAAGCTAGATATCAAAGAAAGGATAAGCATGGACAGAGAGGGTCACACTGGATGCCGAAAGGCCCAGAGCAGCTAAGAGCACCTGAAACATTAAGGGGCTATGCAGCAAAGACGTTAAGAACATGAGTTCTAGAGCCAGACCGCCTGGTTTCAAATCCCTGCTCTGCCACTTACCAGCTGCAGGACTTTGGGCTAGTAACTTCTCTGTGCCTCAGTTTCCTTCTCTCTAAAATACGGACACTAAGAGTACCTATCTCATAAGATCATGAGATTAACTGAGTTACTCTACGGTCATGTCCGAGAACAGCCATGGAGCACAGGAAGGGGCTCTGTGAGGTCTGCAGTGACTCTGAGCCTGACAAGGAGTGCTGTGAGTCCAAGTGTTGGGGCCCAGGAACAAAGATGATCCTTAGGGGAGAGGGGTGATAGATGGCAACACTAGAAGGGACTAAAGAATGGTGAACAGAATAAACAGCTGAATCCTACTGAACAAACAGCTTAGCCTGTGTCAAGGGAAGTTGACCTTTCTAAGTGTGGGTCATGATATAGCCTGCTCCATTGTGTCAATATCAGGAAAACACCAAAACTTTCTGAAGTTTTAAAACTGACTGGTTTCCAGCTGCTCTACACTGCTTCAGAACCCTAACGGTGTCAAAAAGAAGTCATGCAGTCAGCAACACCATAATCTTATTTGCCTCCTCTCTACCCCCACCACTCTTGATCCTGGAATGTCCATCCATACAGCCTAGTGCTGGCAGAGTGAACCCTCCGCAAAGCTTTAAATAAACGGAGCTCAGGAACACTACTCAGATAAGGCAGACGAAACAAGGGCAGGCAGCAGTGGGAGGCACACTGGCAGAGGAGAGGGGTGTTCCCACTGGTGGGGTCAGCCTAGAAGGGAGCAGGAAAGCTGTGAGCTGCAGGTCATGATGCGACTGCAGATGGGGAATCCAGCGTCTACACAACGTTCCAGCAGCACAGACCAGCACAACTCTCTAACCTGTGAGATGAGTGAGTGGGACAGGAGTGTTGGGGTATAGAGCAACACGGGGGGCAGGGAACCAGCCCAGTTTGGCTGCCCGGTTATGACAACAGTAATCCGACCCTCCCATCACAATCATTCAGGTAGGATGGGCAGTGCTGGAAAAAGGGAATGCCTGAGGGCTGCATACAGCAGAGCACTGAATGTAACAACAAACTCTGAAATGCTAGTCTTTTTCCAGTTATTTCTATTCCTACCGTTCTGAGGTCTTTCTTAAATCTATTTTTCTCCCTATAGATTTACTGCCCTTACATCGTCTTTTTTACCTTTATTTTTTAACTGAAGTATAATTAACATAGTCTGATATACTAGTTTCAAGTGTATAGCATGTTGACCCAACAATTCCATACACCACTCAGTGCTCACCACCCTTAGTCACCATCTGTGACTTTTTTCCCACTACCCCTTTCCTCTACTGCCTCTTCATCTGTCATCTTTTTTTTTTAAATTTATTTCTAGGAGAGAGAGAGAGACAGCATGAGCAGGGGAGGGTCAGAGAGAGAGGGAGTCACAGACTCTGAAACAGGCTCCAGGCTCTAAGCTGGCAGTCAGCACAGAGCCCGACGCGGGGCTCGAACCCACGAACCGCGAGATCATGACCTAAGCGAAGGTCGGACGCTTAACCGACTAAGCCACCCAGGCGCCCCTTCATCTGTCATCTCTTGGTTTTTATTTTTAAAATTTGTGTGTGAAATATTCTGATTTTTCCCCCTGTATGGTTTCATGTCTTTTCTGCTTTTCTTTTGTTCATTACTTTCTTCTATGTTCTCTACTTTTCTTTATCCCATACATCTCACCTAATCTCCCCTCTAATGTCTCCCTCTCTGCTTTTTTCCATCTCCTTCTTCTTTCCTTTAGCATCGCTCATCACTGACACTGGGGGCCCCCGTCCCCACCAAGAATCTCTCCAACAAAACCAAAGTTGAAGAATACTTCAGTCTATGAAGTGTTGTGTTCCCTAACCTCACTCCTACTCTTTTTACCATTAGATTTAGAACACTAGAAAGACATGAAAGACTAAGATGGATGGGGACTACTGAACCAATTAGAATAACAATTCTTTACATTTGCATCATGCTTTATGTCAAAATTAATACAGAAGTGGGTACGACTGTGACCTACAAGGTCTTCATGTAGTGGCTATCTAACAGTTTCATCGCAGGGATGAAGTAAGAGCTAGGATCTGAGCCAATGCCCAGAATCTAAGAAAAGGAAAGAAGGCCCATTCTGTGTACTCAAGCTCAAATCCCCTTGGGTTACTAATTAGCCATCAGCCTAGAACCTGTCCCCCTGGCTTGATTGAAATGCTATTTTGGATCTTGACAGATTATTGTAACCCTAGTAAAGTACAGAAATAAGTATCGAAATAAACTAAAAACACACCTATGATCTACTAGAGCATAGACAAAGTAATAAGTTTTGAAATCAATACTTTTCATTTTTTTTTTTTTTTAAAAAGAAGAGATATGAAATGCTATACAAGCCTGCCATCTTAGCTGGTGAATGTACTCCGACATATGTAAGATAATTTACGAATTTTGTATGTCATTACAAATTCATTAGATTTACAAAAGCCATGTGCTATATGTGTAAGATTTGTAAATCTGCCTACTTAGGTGTTTGAAATGTCTTAAAGAATTGGATATATTAAATTTGAAATTTAATATATTTTATATATTTTAAGATCATAGAAATAAGGAAATTTTTATATAAAAAATGATATACAGGTAGAACAAATCTTTTAAAAAGTATAAAATTTTCTTTTTTCTTAATTTTTAGAGAGAGTGGTGTGCATGTGAGCAGGGGAGGGGCAGAGAGACAGGAAGAGAGAGAGGGAGAAAAAATCCTAAATAAGCTCCGCACTGTCAGTGCAAAGTCCGACAGGGGGCTTGAACTCATTGAACCACAAGATCATGGCCTGACCTGACATCAAGAGTCAGACACTCAATAGACTGAGCCACCTAGGCACCCCTGTTTTAAAAAGTTTAAAAATTTAATCTGTAAAAGTTGAGGCTTAACTGAATGTGAATTTTAAAAAAAGTATGTTCTCATTTTTATAAAAATTTTTCTAGATGTAGAAGTGAAATAAAAATGAGTTAGGTTTAAATGCTTAAAAACTTGGTTTAAATGCATAAACTTTAATGAAGTCAATATTAATTAACATATAGGAAACTGTAAATAAAACTCTCTGATATTAATAACCCAGTAACACATCGAAGCTTCCAAAGCACATTCATGTATATTATACAATTTTGTCATCAAAATGAAACTATATTCTCTTTCACCTGTGTGGGAGCTTGGGGAAAAAAAGGGGGCAAGACTGTGTCTTATTCAGTGTATCCCCAACACCCATCATGCTACCCAACACATAGTAAGCATGCCCCCAACAAATCCTGTACCCACTGGATCAATTCACCCTAGTTGACAGAACAGGAAAGGGAGGTCCAGAGAGAAAAGACTCATTCAAGGTCACAGAGTCATCAAAAGATCAAAAGCAGGAGAGCAACCACACTCAGATCTCTCTCTTAATTCCCAGAGCTCACGTCCCTGCTGTTACCTACAGCTATGCAAACATCTGGCAGCACACAGAAAGGTAAACCTTGGCTGCGAACAGGGTCTTGAGGTAAGTGACAAAGAAGGAAAATAGTCACCATTCCTAGTAGATAGGTGCCACTGCTGGAGTTCAGACAGTGAATGACTGACAAAGCAAGGGAACAGGAAAGAAGCGATGACACACCAGAGAGAATGGAACAGGGAGCAGACAGTGGGCAACAGAAACTACTGAAGTTAGGGGGAATGACTAAGGAACAGACAAGAAAATGAAAGGTGGTAATCCTAAGCTTCCCCACAACAGTGGTTTAAGAAAGTGAGTGACCTGGTCCACCTGAGGAAGGGAGCAGAGTGGGTTCAAAATATTCATCCATAGCTCTGTACCCGGCAGACTTAGAATGTGGGTGCCAGAGGGGACTTAGCGGTCAGGCAGGGTTTACTTGTACAACACAGGACCCACAGCTACCATATTCTTGGCCCACAGTTACACTTCACTCCTTCATAGGTAAGTTTCTTCCATTGCTTGTCAGATATATCCTGAGTCCCAGCTTAGAGAGAAAACCAGGTGATAAAGCCATGAAGGCCTAACTTTGAACACCAATATGACTGACACAACTGTTCAAAACCCTCTGGAATCTGCACAAAGATCATAAAGACAAAACATCGCCAGGGCATTTCCTCAAAATCACCACAGAAGTTGACCCTTCCTACCTTAGCTAGCTTTTCTTGCAGGCTCACCGACCTATGATAAACAGAGCATATGAAGAGGATGGGTCTCTGTAATATGAAACAATAAATGGGATTAAAAGGTGAATTTGGAGTTTGCCTGTGTTTTCTGGTGTCTTAAGCCTGTGTGCAAAATAAGGCATTCCTTGTGACAAATGCATAGCTCTCCCTGGTAGTTTCAATACCTCAATACTCTATGTTTTTCAAGCTAGGAGACCAGGCCACCAGTGTCTGAACAGATTCTGAGAAACCCCAATGGTTGAGATTCTGAACCAGGGGGTTGAACCTTACCTAGAGAAGTCATGTTCCCATGTGTCTCCAGTCTCTCACTCTTGGCCAGAGTCCCTGATAATGAGAAGGTGCCAAGGGCTGAGGCCGCAGATGCCTCCTGTGTTGCTTTCAGGACTACAGCCATGTTCCAGAACATGTTTGGATCCTAGAGATAAGCACACAGGTGGATTTCTGAGAAAATTGTCAATGGGAAGCAGTATGATTAAAGATGAGAACATAAAAGTACCTATTCCTAGAGTCCATAAAAGATTTTTTTTTACATTTTTAAAAAACCTTTTTTAATAAAACAACAAAAATAGAAAATAAAGGCAGAGTCTTCTCTGATCCCCAAAGTGAGTTAGGCAGAGAATCAAGGCTGTGACTTTCTTCTCTATCTCTGTGATTTCACATCACTGGCCACTGTGGCATCCAAGCCTAACTTGCCAGTGAGTGCATGACAAGAGAGCAACACACGGGGAGATTTTCCAGGGTAGAGTTTTCTGAGGTGTAAAGATCAAAGAAGCAAGGTTGTGATCTTTGGGGCTCCTCAGCTCACCTGACTAGGGAGTGTTTCTGAAAATACTAAGGACCACAGGGTAGTATGTCGACCCACAACTCAAAGTGGATCCATATATCACCACCACCTGGGAGCTTGTGAGAGGTGTAGACTCGTTTTTTGTTTTGTTTTGTTTTTTAATGTTTTATTTATTTCTGAGAGAGAAAGAGAGAGAGAGAGAGAGAGAGAGAGACAGCATGAGCAGGGGAAGGTCAGAGAGAGAGGGGGAGAGAGAGGGAGACAACGAATCTGAGGCAGGCTCCAGGCTCTGAGCTGTCAGCACAGAGCCCAACGTGGGGCTCAAACCCACGAACCGTGAGATCATGACCTGAGCCGAAGTCGGACGTTTAATGGACTGAGCCACCCAGGCGCCCTGAGAAGTGCAGACTCTTAACCCAGACCTCCTGAATCAGAACCTGCATTGTAACAAGACCTCCTGGTGATTCCTATGCATATTAAAATTTGAGAAGCATATGTTAGAGCTATCAAAACTTGACTAGAGTCCACTGAAAAGTTTGGTTTTTTTTTTAATTTTTTAAATGTTTATTTATTTTTGAGAGAGAGCATGCAAGTGCACGCAGGAGAGTGAGACAAAGCATGAGTTAGGGAGGGGCAGAGAGACAGGAAGACACAGAATCCAAAGCAGGTTCCAGGCTCTGAGCATGTTGCCCCACATAGGGCTCAAACCCACAAATCATGAGATCACAACCTGAGCCAAAATCAGAGGCTTAACCGACTGAGCCACCCAGGTGCCCCAAGAGTTTTTTGGGTTCCCACCCCCCCAATCTCGGCTGTCTGGGTTCCAGGCCAAGATTCTCATTCAATTGGAATCAAGTAGCCATGAGCATCACGATTTTATAAAAAGCTCCCCAGGTAATTCTGTGCAGCAAAGTTTGAGAACCACTGGTTTATAGAAAGGACCAAATGTCCCATCAAGAAGAGACTGTTTCTATTATATACTAAAGGACTATAGACGAGAGCCCTACCCTCAAAATAATACTGCAGGTGTGGAAGCAGAGGAACACAGTTTCCTCTGAAAGCACTTGAGGTGTTCAGGTCTCTCTTCCCTCCCTCCTCCAAAACCATTGTTTACCTTCTCCTCCTGTTCTGATAAAGCAAGGTCTGTCTGGGGACTTTCCCCAGGAGCCCAGACTTTGATGTTCTCAGAGTGTACATGGCTAGATGCCTGACCTAGGAAGTTTTCTTCCTCCTCTTCCTCCTTTTTCACGGTCACTGAGCCCCAGGGGGCTAAGGCCATGGCCTCTCTCAGTTCTGCGGTCATCTTCTCTGCTCAGGAGGGGAACTCTTATAGCTGGGGGATGCCCAGCAGAGGTCAAGCCCCATCTAATCTTTAAGTTTCTTCTTCTTGAGTTTCTTCTCAGGGCCAGGATGATTCTGTCTACTGAAAAACCAGAAAACATTGTTAGCATCGAGCAAAGGTGTGCCTGGATGCCATTAAGGGCATTGCTGCCCAGTGCGTACACAGTAGCCACCGCAACAAGGGTCTGCTCTACTCCTCCCTCATAGGATGGAAACGGTTCAAAGGCAAACATGTAATTTGTTCCCATAATAATCACATTACAAACAGCTTTATATCATGTTTATTTTTTTCCCGATTATAGAGTTAACATATTATTATTGTAAAAGTTTAAAAAATACACGGGCACCTGGGTGGCTCAGTCGGTTAAACGTCTGACTTCAGCTCAGGTCATGATCTCATGGTTCATGAGTTTGAGCCCCGCATGGGGTCTGTGCTGACAGCTCAGAGCCTGGAGCTTGCTTCAAATTCTGTCTCCCTCTCTCTGCCCCTCCCCCACTCGTGCTCTGCCTCTCTCTCTCTCTCTCTCTCAAAAAAAGAAAAATACAGAAAATAACTAAGAAAAATCAACCCTACTCCACCTCCAAAGAGATAACCACTGTAGAGCACAGAATTTAAGATACTTCTTTTAAGGGAAAACCTTCAACCACACTAACAATTATGACTTATACACTTCTTGTTTTTAACTATAGGAATATATATATTTTTTTAATTACCACCATGGGTTGGTTTTGTTTGTTTTGGGGGTTGTTTATTTATTTTTTTTTAAGTAGGCTTCATCCCCAGTGCAAAACCCAATGCAGGGCTTGAAGTCATGACCTGAGTTGAGATCAAAAGTGAAACACTTGACTGGGCCAACCAGGCACCCCACCATGGTTTTTTTTTTTAGAAGGAATATTACAACACAAAGAACGTTTTTAATTGCCAAAGATATACAATACCATGAACTAAAGAAATTCAAGAAAAGGTCTGAGAGTCTAGACACCAACATTTAGAGATGGTCATCTCTGGGTGATATAATTACAGATAGTTTTGAGATTCTTTTTGTTTGATATTTACTTTTTCCATTTCTTCCAACTGTCTAACATTACTGTCTAATATAACTAATATTACTCTTAAGATTAAAAAAAATGTTTTATGTTGCCATTCTTCCTACTTATCACTTTTAGTAGCTATACAATAACCTATAGTGTTAATTCTATCATTCTCATCCAAAAAGGATCAATAAATAAATACATAGAATCAAATATATACCCTACATACAAATGCACACAGTAATTATCAGTCATCAGTGTTTTCTCTGCATTTCCATACAGATATGTTCACCTTTACACATACTGCTTATTTTCCCAAAACAGAAATTAGAACGCATTTGTATGTACATTTTTTAGCAAGTTGCATTTTGTTTTTTGAACTCAATGCCTTTATTTCACATAGTATTCCACTGTCTTAGATGGATCTTTCTAGGCACCTGGGTGGCTCAGTTGGTTAAGCCTCTGATTTCAGCTCAGGTCATAATCTCCTGGTTCGTGGGTTCGAGCTCTGCATAGGGCTCTGTGCTGACAGCTCAGAGCCTGGAGCCTGTCTTCGGATTCTGTCTCCCTCTCTCTCTGACCCTCCCCTGCTCATGCTCTCTCTCTCTAAAAAAATAAATAAAACATTTAAAAAAAAAGGATGGATCTTTCAATACACCTACATATAGAGTTACTTCATTCTGGAATTCTAAATACATTATAACTTACTTAACCAATACTATTTATGAGCCATTGCTTTAGTGAAAGGAGTTCTGATTGTTTCCAGTTTATTTTCTTAATATTTAATGTTAAAAAATTTTTTCTGTGCAAATAGTTTTTTCTTCTGCTTAATTATTCCTTTACAAGTGAGAGACTACTGGTTCAAGGATTTCATGATTGACATATAGTGCTAAATTGCTTTCTAAAAAGACATCAAATCACACCATCACCAACTTAACCATACAGCTTTATCACAGCCAGGTCAGCGGGTCTTTGTTGTTTAATCTGTGGGTAAAACAACCTTACTAGTTTAGTTTATTACAAATAGATTACATTTTGTCTATTCCCCTTCAGATGTCTTATGGGGCGAGGGACGCTAAATTTTATTATGTCTCCTTTTGCTACTATTGATCACATACTTTCTCCTGTATCAACTTACTGGCAACTTAGTGTACAATTTCCTGAATAACGCAACAGTACTTTCATTACTGCAGCAAATCTCAATTCTGGATGATTATTCTATCTAGAACTGAATTCCACCAGGTGGAAAGGCCTTAAACATTCATCTCACCTGTGTATAAGCCAGACTGCCTACTGAGTATTCTTACGGGGCTGCTGACCAAACTCAAATCCGCCTCCAGCCCCACAATGCAGAGTCCCTGATCAAGGACTTCCCTTTCAGTGTCCTCTCCCTGTTTCCAAACGTGGCAACCCACCTCCCCCACCTCCATATCCTAATCCCTATTCCCGGGGTAAGCCCGGCCCCTGGTCCAAGCTTCTCCAGGAAAGACCCCCGGTAGGCTGCAGCTGTGTTTCCGAAGTAGGGGGACGCGGAGCCGGCCGCGGACGGACAGGCCTGGACCCCCAAGGGCAGGTCGCGGCAGGGCGCCCCTGTAATGGCCCCTTCCGCGCCACCAAGGCCCGTGTCCTGTCCCGCCAAGCCCACTCACCGTGCACCGCGAAAAGGCCTGGCCAGAGCTCGCGGACTCCGTAGCAGAACATAGGCTGGAACAGACGGCCCGCGCCTACCGGTGCGAGAACAATGACCGGACAGGAAGTGCCTGGAGACGGGCTTCCGGCTTCCCAAGTCCCCAGGCCGGCCCCTCTAGGAATCTCGGAGGTGTTGTCTTCTCGATGGGTGTCCAATATCTCTGCGGAGCGGGGATGGGCGTGGAAGTGCCCAGGAGGGTGCAGGTGGTCTGTGGCCCTAAAGCCTCAGGAAAGGGGACATCCCCTGGCTCGGCAGTAGTCGGGCGAGGCGTGTACACAGAAGCCTGAAGCTACAAAGCATTCGTCTGTAGAAAGCCCTGATAATTTTGCCCCAAACGTTTTATTTTGAAAATCTCAAACAGTACAGAAAAGTTGAAAGAATGGTACAGCGGATACCTGTATCCTCCATCTGGACTCAACACTTGCCTACGTTTGCCTTATCTCTCTGTATATACTGAAAAAAAATTTTTTTTCAAAACACTTCATTCCAACAGTTCAATATGCATTCGTTCATAATATTCTCCAAACGTTAATACATTACATAATGGAAAGAAAATGAACAATTCCCTACTATCACCTAATATCCAATCATATTCAAATCTCCCCAACCACCCTTAAATATATATTTCATAATTTTGTTCTTCCAAGTCAGTTTCACACAGTGCATTTGGTTATGGCTTTTTTAGGATTTTGTTTTACCTTTTATTTTGAATTCAAAATAAGAAGTTGGAAAAATAATACCCTTCCCCAAGTTTCCCTCAACAGGCACAACTTACATAATTATAGTTTGGTATAAAAATAAGGATGTTGACACTTGTACATTGTTTGTGTATACTTCTACTTCATTTTATCACATGTATGTTTGTGTAACCACTACCGCAATCAAGATACACAACTTTCCCAACACCACAAAGACCTTCCTAAGTGTTATCCCTCCCTCTCCCTGCTGTCTCCTCTCACTATCCCCAACCTCTGGTAATCACTAACCTTTCATCTCTATATAGTTTTGTCATTTTAGAATATCATGTAAATAGAATCATGCAGAATACAACCTTTTGAGATTAGATTTTTTTTTCCACTCAGCATAATATCCTTGAGATTCACTTGTCGTTGCAGCAATAGGTCATTCCATTTTATTATAGAGTAATAAGTATTCATGGTATAGATATAATACTGCTTTAGCCACTTGTTGAGGCTATTTGGGTTACTTACAGATTTTGACTGTTACAAATAAAACTGCTATGAATAGTCATGTTCCTGTTTTTCTGAACATAAGTTTTCATTTCTCTAGGATAAATGCTCAGGAATACGAACATTGGGTTATATTGTAAGTGCACGTTTGGGTTTGTAAGAAACTGCCAAACATGGGGTGCTGACTGAGCAACTGTCTCTTGATTTGACTCAGGTCATGATCTCAGGGTCATGGGATCGAGCCCCACATGAGGTTCTACACTGAGCATGAAGCCTGCTTAAGATTCTCTCTCCCTCCCGAATTGGACAGCAACATGCAGAAGAATGAAACTAGATCATTTTCTCACACCATGCACAAAAATAAACTCAAAATGGATAAAGGACCTGAACGTGAGACAGGAAACTATCAACACCCTAGAGAAGAAAGCAGGAAACAACCTCCTTGACCTCCACCGCAGCAACTTCTTACTTGACACAACCCCAAAAGCAAGGGAATCAAGAGCAAAAATAAATGATTGGGAACTCATCAAGATTAAAAGCTTCTGCACAGCCAAGGAAACAACCCAGAAAATTAATAGGCAACCAACGGAATGGGAAAAGATAGTTGCAAATGACATATCAAATAAAGGGCTAATATCCAGAATCTATAAGGAACTCACCAAACTACACGCCCGAAAAACAAACAACCCAGTGAAGAAATGGGCAGAAGATATGAACAGACACTTCTCCAAAGAGGACATCCAGATGGCCAACAGACACATGAAACGATGCTCAGCGTCCCTCCTCATCAGGGAAATACAAATCAAAACCACACTGAGATACCACCTCACGCCAGTCAGAGTGGCTAAAATGAGCAAATCAGAGAACTCTAGATGCTGGCGAGGATGTGGAGAAACGGGCACCCTCCTACACTGTTGGTGGGAATGTAAACTGGTGCAGCCCCTCTGGAAAACAGTGTGGAGGTTCCTCAGGAAACTAACAATAGAACTCCCCTATGACCCAGCAATAGCACTGCTAGGAATTTACCCAACGGATACAGAAATGCTGAGGCATAGGAGCACATGGACCCCAACGTTCATAGCAGCACTCTCCACAATAGCTAAAATATGGAAAGAGCCTAAGTGTCCATCAACAGACGAATGGATCAAGAAGATGTGGTTTATCTATACCATGGAATACTACATGGCAATGAGAAACAATGAAACCTGGCCACGTGTAGCAACATGGATGGACCTTGAGGGTGTTATGCTGAGTGAAATAAGTCAGGCAGAGAAGGACAAATATCATATGTTTGCACGTATAGGAGGATTAGGAGGAACTTGACGGAGGAACAAGGGGGAGAAGAAGGGGGGAAATGGTGGGGGAAAGGGAGAGAGGCAAACCATGAGAGACTCTTGCATGCTGACAAAAACTGAGGACTGATGGATGTGGGGGGGAGGAGGGATGGGCATGGAGGAGGGCACTTGTGGGGATGAGCACTGAGTTATGTGGAAACTAATTTGACAATAAACTATTTGTAAAAAAAAAAAAAAAAAGATTCTCTCTCCCTCCCTCTGACCTCTCCCCCACTAACATGCTATCTCTTAAAAAAGAGGCGGGGGCGGGGGGCTAAAACAAAACAAAACAAAAAAAAACTTGCCGAACTATTTTCAAGAGTGTCTGTACCATTTAACAATCCCAACAACATGAGATCTAGTTACTCTGTATCATTGCCAACATGTAGTAACACTATATTTTCCCTTTTCCTAAGGTATGCTGATAGATGTACAGTGATTTTTAACTTTTATTTCCCTACTGGCTAATGATGGTGAACAACTTTTCATTTACTTGCTATCTATACTTTGGTGAAATGGCTTTACATGTCTTTTGTCCACTTTCTACTTTAAAGTTATTATTGGTGAGTTTTGAGATTTTTTTATATAGCCTAAATACAAATCCTGTTGGATATATGGTTTGCAAATATTCCTCTCAAGTCTGTAAAATCTTAGCACCCCTAAAGTTTCTTTGCAGAGCAAATTATTTTAATTGTGATGAGGTCCAATTTATCATTTTCCTTTTAAGGACCCTACTTTTGATGTAAATCGAAGAATTCTTTGCTTAGTCCTAGTTCCTATGTATGTATTTATGTATGTATGTATGTATGTATGTATGTATGTATGTATATTTGCCTATGGGTATCCAATTGCACCAGCAGCATGTTGAAAAGGCTCTTTCCTCTAAATTGCTTTTATACCTTTGCCAAAAATCAATTGGTCATTTGTATGAGACTCTTCCTGTCTTACATCTCTTTAATACCTTTTAAAACAACCTCCCTCACCCACTTTTATACCTTTCATTCTGGAAATACACACAAAACCAGACATCGGTATAATGAACTCCCAAAACTCATTCAGCTTCAACAATTATCACATCCTGCCTTTTTCATATTGTTGAAGAATCCAGTGCAGTTTTCTTATACAATATCATGTGTTCTAAATTTTCTTGTGGTGCCCTTTATCTTGTTCCTCTGATTCCTGTATTTCCTGGCAACAGGTCTAAGAAGCTTGATAAATTCAGGTTACACTTTTGGCTTATTGCATCAAATGAGGAGGCACGTTACGTAGGTTGTCTCAGTCTTAATGATGTTATATTTTAACTGGTTTAGAGGTGAATGCCAGCTTCCCCATTGTTAAAGTACATCTTTCTCTTTGTAATTATTATACAACCAGTAGTGATTCTTCTGTAGCACAAATATAAAGCAGCTTTATATTCACTATCTCATAACAACTCTGTGAGGTAGATATTCTCCCTCCTGTTTATTCAGATAAGGAAATCAAGGCTACAAGAAATGAAGGCATTTATCCAAGGAAAGTGGCAGAAGCTGACTCATATCTGGGCCTTAAGACTTTAAATTTCAGGCTCCTTCCGTTTTTCACTCCTGTGTACCTTTCAGTCTAATGAGGAACCAAACCTCAAGGAACTTAGGGGTTGGATTAGTAACATTTATCAACACACCACTTTAATACTACTAATATTAGAAACACAATCCTGATATTAAGGTTTTTTATAGTCCAATTACAGAGCTGGGAGTTTTGAAAATTACAATACAAAATTAGCAACTCAAGAATACAGGATGAATTAGATCTAAGATTGGTTCCTCGGGAGTGATAGGCTTAATTACTCAGAGATAGATTCTCAATTGATTTAATGAGAGCTTTAAGAACTCAGCTCTTGGGGCGCCTGGGTGGCTCGGTTGGTTAAGCATCTGGCTTCGGCTCAGGTCATGATCTCATGGTTCATGGGTTCGTGCACCGCGTCGGGCTCTGTGCTGACAGCTCAGAGCCTGAAGCCTGTTTCAGATTCTGTGTCTGCCTCTCTCTCTGACCCTCTTCCCTTGCTCATGCTGTCTCGCTCAGAAATAAATAAAACATTAAAAAAAAAAAAAAAAAGAACTCGGCTCTTTGTGAAACTTATGTAGTAAACTGAGTAGTGGAACAGGATGTTGTTTCTTAACAAGCTTTCATATGTCAGCATATGTTTATATATGAAATGCCAGTGAAATGTTGATTAGAACTGAGAATAAAGTGGCAGGGATCATTAGCTAAGGGGTTGGGGCTAAGGATTTTCCCCTATGAACAGGGAGAGCAATATAGGACTGTCCTTCCATTTTGACATTCACCATCTGCTAGGTTTCGAATTTGAAGGTTTGAAAATACTTTTCCTTGGCTTGTGTTAACAGCTGAACATAATACTGTTTTTCCATAATAAGCCAATATTTTCCTATCAAAACAAACTAGGCATACTATCTATTAACTCAAACATTCTGAAAGGTGTATTTTAAAAAAGTCTTTAGACTATTAAAATCCAAAGATACTTATCCACCACCATCCTTCCTTTTACTATAAAAATGAGTATTTTTGAGGTTCCTGGATTCAATTGTTCATTGACGTAATGAACAAACATTACATTATGCCATGTTCCAGATTTTGACCATACCTCTTTTATCCAACTTTATTGACAACTAGATTATTTCACAAAGTACATTCACAAACATCCTTTCATTTAATCCTCAAACCCTGTGAGGTAGGCATTATATCAACGTTTGACTGACAGAGAAACTGAGGCCTAGAAAATGACTTAACAACATCACATAGCTAGTAAGAGAAAGATCCAGGACCTAAACCTAGGTCTTCCAATTCCAAATCTCGTACTCTTCTTAAGTTGTCCTCAAACAGCAGACTCTTGCCCACTGAAGTCCATGTCTGACATGTCTCAATCATACTGTCAACAGAGACTTTCTGTTGCAGTGATGCAATTTTTAGAATGTACAATATACACATTTTCAGAAACAATGTCTATTTTTTTATACAAAAATATTTTTGCTATCATTTACAACTACATTATTACATCTCATAAATTTTTTCAGAGTCTTTAATTGCTCTAAGGTCCCTTTCTAGAGTCATAACAAATGGTCTAGAACAAAGTATTCTTTAACTAGAATTTGGTTTATGTTTTTTGCAGTCTTGAAAGTCTAGATTAACTTTCTTTCACGTGCAAATCACTGGTTTACAAGAGAGTCTATCATGATGTTTTTTTCCTTGCAAGAATGATATACTGCCATTTGTCTAACAGTGACTTAGGTAAGTTGGGATTCTATCCCATCTTACATATGACTCTAGATTTTCTGAATCTCTGTCTTAGACTCATTGGGATTTTGGAGCCAAGAGAATCCCTCCACACTATGGATTTCTTGCTGCAGGTGAAGGTTTGAATTCTGAGAGAATTCCTTTTCAGACTTATCACATTCACAGAGTTTTTCATCTGTATGAATTTTCTGATGTACAGTAAGGTTCTTTCTCTGCCTAAAAACTTTACTACAATCATTACACCCATATGGTTTCTCCCCTGTATGGATTCTCTGGTGGCCAACTAAATTCCTCTTGGAAGTAAAAGATTTTCTACACTTCTCACACTCATATGGTTTTTCCCCCGTGTGCATCCTCTGATGTACAACAAGGTTTTTATTCTGACTAAAGTCTTTCCCACACTCATTACATTTATATGGCTTCTCTCCAGTGTGGATTCTTTGATGTACCATAAGATTTCTACTAGAGGTAAGAACTTTCCTACATATATGACATTCATAGGTTTTTTCACCACTGTGAATTCTTTGATGTTCAATAAGGTTTCTGTTGTAAGTAAAGCCTTTCCCACACTCGTTACATGCATAGGGCTTCTCACCAGTGTGGATTCTCTGATGGGCTATAAGGTTTGAGCGGTAACTGAAGACTTTCCCACAGTCACTGCATTTATAAGATTTTTCCCTCGTGTGAATCCTCTGATGTCCAATGAGGCTTTTCTTCAAAATGAAGCATTTACCACACTCATTACACTCATAGGGTTTCTCACCACTGTGGATTCTCTTGTGTTCAATGAGGTTTCTGTTAGAACTGAAAGCTCTTCCACACTCATTGCATTCAAAGGGCTTTTCCCCAGTGTGGATTCTCCGATGTACGAGCAGACTTGAATTGTAACTGAACGCCTTCCCACAATCCTCACATTTGTAGGATTTCTCCTGTGTATGTAGTTTCTGATGCACCATGAAACTTTTGCTCATAATGAAAGTTTTCCCACACTCTCGACATTCATAGGGCTTCTCCCCATTGTGGAGCCTCTCATGGTCAGCGAGGTTTCTGTTAGAACCAAAGACCTTGCCACAGTCCTTACATTCATAGAGATTCTCTCCAGTGTGAAACCTCTGATGTAATATGAGGCTCTTCTTTAAAATAAAAACTTTCCCACATTCGTTACATTCATAGGGTTTCTCTCCATTATGGAGTCTCTGATGGTCAAAAAGGTAAGCACTCTGAGTAAAGGCTTTCCCGCATTCAGTACATTTATATGGTTTCTCTCTGCTATGCATCCTCTTATGGTCAATGAGGTTTGACTTTGAATTGAAAATCTTCCCACATTTTTTACAACCAAAAGTCTTCTTTTCTGTGTGTACTCTCTGATGTAAGAGAAGACTTTTGCTTCGAATGAAAACTTTTCCACATTCTTTACATTTGTATGGGTTCTCTGCACTGTGGAGTCGCTGATGGTCAACAAGGTAAGTGGTCTGAGCAAAGGTTTTTCCACATTCATCACATTTATAGGGTTTTTCCCCAGAGTGGATTCTCTGGTGTAGAATGAGGCTCTTCTTCAGAACGAAAGCTTTCTGACACTTGTTACATTTATAAGGCTCTTCCCCTTTGTGGAGCCTCTGATGGTCAATGAGGTAAGCATTCTGAGAGAAAACTTTCCCACATTCATTACATTTGTAAGGTCTCTCCCCAGAATGGCGCCTTAGATGTATAATAAGGCCTGAGTGCCTATAGAAGCCCTTTCCGCACTCCTTACATTTATAAGGCTTCTCTCCAGTGTGGATTCTTTGATGGTTGAGAAGATAAGCACTTTGAGAGAAGGCTTTCCCACATTCATTACATTTATAAGGTTTCTCCCCAGAATGGTTGCGTAAATGCATTAGAAGGCTTGAGCGCTGAATAAAGCCTTTTCCACACTCCTTACATTTATGAGGCTTCTCACCAGTGTGGATTCTCCGATGGTTTATAAGATGGGAGATTTTATTGAAATGCTTACAACATATATCACATTTATAAAACTTCTTTCCTTCAGTACCTATTAAACTTTCAGAAAGAGCTGAACCTAAAGTCAAGCTTTCTCCAAATTCCTTCCACTTTTGGCCTTGTTTTTCTGGTAAGGCCTTTTTCTTCCTATCTCGTTCACAGAGGGGACCTTTCTTCAGTGTATCTCTTTCCCCTGATTCAGTCCCCCACTGACTTGCCACAATTTGCCAATCACATTCCTCCTCAAAATCGAGGGTCTGGGGAACACTTCCTTGAAGTCTTTTGGATGTTCCTTTCTGAGAATCTGCCCTTTGAGAAATGCTTGGCTTTCGTGTCACCTCCTCATTCTCAGTCATGGTCTCCCATTCTGGTAAAAGGAATTAAAAATGCAAACGTTACCACGTCCCTATGTTAGTGAGAACAAGATCTTCAAATGATTTTCAAACACACAGTAGGTAACTTTTATACGAACACAAAAAGAAGACACTTCATTAGATGAAGGGCCATAGCAGAATACTACATTGACAAGATTTTTAATTTTTTAAATGTTTTTATTTATTTGTGAGAGAGAGAGATCTCGAGCGAGCAGGGGAGGGTCAGAGAGAGAGGAAGACACAGAATCTGAAGCAGGCTCCAGGCTCTGAGCTAGCTGTAAGCACAGAGCCCGACACAAGGCTCGAACCCATGAACCGTGAGATCATGACCGAAGCCGAAGTCGGACACTCAACCAACTAAGCCACCCAGGCGCCCCTACAATGACAAGGTTTTAAGTGGATTAACAAAGAAGTCACTCAGACACTTCTAAGCTCTTTATCTTCAGGGAGCAGATGGAAAAATATAAATGATGTTGAGTAAATAGATGCAAGAAAAAACCAGAGAGAGAACATAAGATGATGTGTAGGTGATTCAGACACGAGGCTCAGGATGTCAGATTGAACAGGGAGAGTCATTTTGGCTTATAAAGAATTATTTTTTATTTTCTTCATGGTAGGAAGATGGAAATTCTAACAGAGAGAAAATATACCTAAGGACCCTAAAGGCAATCTTTAATTTTTCAAGAGTCAAGTGCAAAAATATTTTTTAATTACTTAAAAGCAAGTAAACTACAGGAAAAAATCCACTAAAAAACTTAATGCTTAAACTTCATATACAATTCACTCTATTCCTTTTAAAATTGAGAAATGGAAATTTTAAAATCTCACAAAAACATCAGGTCTGAGTTAGACTCACTTAGAAGAAATAGAGTGAAAAGAAAAAATATAGAGGCATTATAAAAACATGAACATATCTATAAAATGATGTGGCTGAACTAGTAAACTGCCAAAGTTGCTTTCTACTCTGATGTTCTAAAATATTGTAAAATGTGAACTTATTTTTTTTAATGTTTTGACAATTTACTTTCACCATCCAAATGTGAGGAAAAATATATGAACTAGTTCCCCAAATTATCTAGTAAGTAAAGTAATGTGAATAATAGTAATATTATCTTCTACTAGAGTAGAACAACACTGTTCTACCTAAATAGGGAGAAAAGATATAGGAAAGGAGCACCCATTTTATTTCATTATAAACTTATTTAATTTATGAGAAGGTAAGGATAGCAAATACCTAATACATGTTAACTTAAACTACATTCTTAGGTCAGGTTTTCCCATCTCATCTTGACTGCCCCTTTCTCCAGGATTCAGGCGGGACTGTCAATCACACTATTCACCTGGTAGAGGGGTGGGAAGGTGTCCTATCCAGTACTGTTCCTCCAGTTTCCTTGTCCACAGTGACTAGATGAATGGCTTCATAGTTTAAGCAAGATGCTGGTTTCAGGAAGATTCTTTTTATTTTTTTTTATTTTTTTTTTTTGGCGTTTATTCAGTTTTGAGAGACAGAGAATGAGTGGAGAAGGGGCAGAGAGAGAGGGAGACACAGAATCTGAAACAGGCTCTGAGCTGTCAGCACAGAGCCCGATGTGGGGCTCGAACCCACAAACCATGAGATCATGACCTGAGCTGAAGTCGGATGCTTAACCGACTGAGCCACCCAGGCGCCCCAGGAAGATTCTCTTTAAGGGGAAAAGTTGAAGTGTTTTAAAGAGGTAGAAGTGCTTTTAGGAGTAGAAGTATTGCAAGTGGTTAACTGAGATGAAAAATGGTTTAAGATATTAGCAATTCTAGGGGCGCCTCGGTGGCTCAGTCAGTTGGGCATCCGACTTTGGCTCAGGTCATGATCTCACTATTCCTAAGTTTGAGACCCACATCAAGCTCTGTGCTGACAGCTCAGAACCTAGAGCCTGTTTCAGATTCTGTGTCTCCCTCTCTGTGTCTGCCCCTCCCCCACTGGTGCTCTGCCCCCCTCTCTCTTAAAAATAAATAAACATTAAAAAATATTAAAAAAAAAAAAGAAAAAAGAAATTAGCAATTCTTGGGGCGCCTGGCTGGCTCAGTCAGTGGAGCATGTAACTTTTTTTTTTTTAAGTTTATTTATTTTGAGATAGAGCTACCGGGGGAGGAAAAATAGAGAGAGAGAGAGAAAGAGAGAGAGAGACAGAGAGAATCCCAAGCAGGCTCTGCACTGTCAGCGCAGAGTCAGATGCATGGCTTGAACTTGCAAACTGTGAGATCATGCCCTCAACCAAAACCAAGATTCGGTCGCTTAACTGACTGAGCCACCCAGGTGCCCCAAGCATGCAGCTCTTGATCTTGGGGTTATGAGTCTCAGCTCCACTTTGGGCATAGTGTTTACTTAAAAACAAAAAGACAGAAATCTTAAAATTCATATCAATATTCCAAATATCTTGAAAGGAAAAAATGATTAAAATTCTTTTTAAAAAAAGGGACATCAGCAGTTCTTTCATACACAGTAATTTGCTGGCTAAACTATCTGAAATTTCAGTATGGAAATCAGACAATGTGTAGGAATATGGAGCTTTAGAGGACTTGGTAGAAAAATGTCAGATTGATAGAGGAAGCTGGTTACTTTCTGCAATCTTGAATGAAGCTTACAAGAAATAGACAGGCTTCCCTACTTCCAACCCTACCCTCTTCTTTAATCCATATCCACTCTATTGCCAATTATCTTTCCAATAAGTAAATTTGACCATGTCACTCACCTGTTTAAAACAAATGATTCTTTTTTTTTTTTTTTTTTAACATTTTTATTTATTTCTAGGAGAGAGAGAGAGAGAGACAGCATGAGCAGGGGAGGGTCAGAGAGAGGGAGATACAGACTCTGAAACAGGCTCCAGGCTCTGAGCTGGCAGTCAGCACAAAGCCCAACGCAGGGCTCGAACCCACGAACCGCGAGATCATGACCTAAGCGAAAGTCGGATACTTAACCGACTAAGCCACCCAGGTGCCCCTCAAAACAAATGATTCTTAACTGCCTATAGGATAAAGCAAAAATAACCAGCACAGCCCAAGAGATGCCCTCACCTACTGCCTGTCTATCTTTCTGGCTTTACTTCTTACTAGTGCTCTTTATGGCCCTAGACTCCAGCTAGAGAGAACTACATGCAGATGCCCAAACATGTCATGTTTTTGCTTGCTTTTCTATCAGTGCCCATGTTTTTTTCTCTTCCTGAATTGTTCTTCCTCTTCTATACTCTTACGCCCAAAAGTTACCCTCTCTGGACATTACCAAATACTACAGAAACAAAAAGAATTATAAGGGAATAACAGAAATGCTTAATTTCAAGATGAAATGGGAAAATTCCTAGGAAGACACAAATTACTAAAACTGACTCAAAAAGAAATAGAAAATCTGACAGATCTCTAAAAAGAAATTGACTCAGTAATCCAAAAAAAAAAAAAAAAAAAAAACCACCCACAAAGAAAAGCCCAGGCCCAGACTGTTTTACTGATGAATTCTAACAACCTTTACAAAAAATTAATACCGGGGCACCTGGGTCTCTCAGCTGGTTAAGCGTCCAACTTCGCTTCAGGTCATGATCTCACGGTTCTTGGGTTCGAGCCCCACATTGGGCTTTGTGCTGACAGCTCAGAGCGTGGAGCCTGCTTCAGATTCTGTGTCTCTCTCTCTGTCTGCCCCTCCCCTGCTTGTTCTCTGTCTGTCTCTGTCTCTCAAAAATAAATAAACATTAAAAAATTTAAAAAAGATTAATACCAATTTTTCACAAACTCTTCCAAGAAACAGGAGTTGGGAACACTTCACAACTCATTCTGTGGGACTAGAATTACCCTGATCCCAAAACCAGAAAAAGATATCACAAAAGAAAAGAAACCTACAAATATATGAATATAGACCTAAAAATCCTCAACAAATTACTAGCCAACTTAATCTAGCAACACATGGAAAAATTATATACCATGACCAAGTGGGATTTATCACAGGAAAGCAATGTTGGTATAATATTGGAAAGTCAATTAATGTAATACATCATATCAATGTACTGAAGAACAAAATCACATAATCATCTCAAGAGATGCAGAAAAAGCATCTGGTAAAAATCCAATACCCCTTCATGAATAACAAAGTAGGAATATAAGGGAACTTCTTCAAACTGATAAAGGAGACTTACAAAAAAATCCAAAGCTAACACCATAGTTAAAGGTGAACAACTGATGCTTTCTCTGTAAGAACAGTAATAAGAAAAGGATTTCTGCTCTTGTCACTTCTATGCAACACATACTGTAGGTTTTAGCCAGGGAATTAGGCAAGAGAAAGAAATAAAAGTCATCCAGATTGAAAAGGAACAAATAAAACTATTCTATTTGCAGATGACAAGCTCTTATATGTAGAAAATATTAAAAGGGGAGCCTGGGTAGCTCAGTCAGTTAAGCACGTAACTCTTTATTTCAGGTCAGGTCATGATCTCATAGTTAGTGGGATGGAGTCCCATGTAGGGCTCTGCACTGACAGTGAGGAACCTACCTGGGACTCTCTCTCTTCCTCTCTCGCTCTCTTTGCTCCTCCCCTGCTCACGATTTTTCTTTCACAAAATAAACATTTAAAAAAGAAAAAAAGAAGGAAATCTTAAAAAGTCTACAAAAAAAACCTGTTAGAACTAAGTAAGTACAGCAAGGTCGCAGGACACAAGATCAATAAACAAAAATCAGTGGGATTTCTTACACAATAGCACTGAACGATCTTAAAGGGAAATTAAGAAAAACAGCCTAAGAAAGAATAAAAGATTTAGGAATAAATTGATTGATTGATTTGGAGGAGGGGTGCAAAAAGGTAAGTCTATTAGGCAGAAAGAGCTGCACTAGGATTGTGAAGGGTGACTGGTAATATATTATGGAGTTGGGGAAGGTAAAGACAAAAGGGAAGCCTCCAGAAGGACTTTCATATGCTAAAGAAGATACTAGCTACTAGAGGTCTAGCTATTGTCAAACTAAGGTTGTTTTCCCTCCAGTAAGGCATTAACATTAAGACAGTAGGGAGAGCAGGCAACCTGGGTGGCTCAGTTGGTTAAGCAGCTGACTTCAGCTCAGGTCATGATCTCACAGTTTGTGGGTTCAAGCCCCGCATCGGGCTCTTTGCTGACAGCTAGCTCAGAGAGGGGGTAAAATGACAGTAGGGAGAAATGTTACATTCTGTATTTGCCCCAAGTATTTGTCAATGGCCTGCAGATTATAAGGAAATTTAATCTTCCCCACATACTAATCAAAGATATGGCACCCAAAAAAATAGTATTTGTCATCTACCCAGCAGAAATTTTTATATTTTTACTTTTTTTAAATGTTTTATTTTTTTTAATGTTTTTATTTATTTTTGAGAGAGAGAAAGAGAGAGAGAGAGACAGCATGAGCAGGGGAGGATCAGAGAGAGAGGGAGACACAGAATCCGAAGTCAGGCTCCAGGCTCTGAGCCAGCGTCAGCACAGAGCCCAACGTGGGGCTCGAACCCACAGACCATGAGATCATGACCTGAGCTGAAGTCAGACGCTTAACCGACTGAGCCACCCAGGCGCCCCAATGTTTTATTTATTTTTGAGAGAGAGAGAGAGAGAGAGAGAGAGAGAGACAGCGTTGGCAGGGGAGGGGTCAGAGAGAGAGGGAGACACAGAATACGAAGACAGGCTCCAGGCTCTGAGCTGTCAGCACAGAGTCCAATGCGGGGCTGGAACCCATGAACCGTGAGATCATGACCTGAGCTGACCAATTGAGCCACCCAGCTGCCCCAACCCAGCAGAGAATTAAAACACTGATCAAGTCATTAGCACATATAAGGGAAATGAGCCCTCTTTTGCTCTTTTCATGGGAATGTAAATTTGGTATATCACTGGTAGAAAGCAGTTTGGTAACATGTATCAAAATATAAAATCTACAGAATGTTTGGCCCACTATCAGCACATTTGAGATAGTAAACGATATATCCTCATTAAGTGTAAAAATATACAGTACAAATTACTGTAGGCAATAAAATAGTAAGGTTGCAACATAGCAAAAAAAAATCAGTATCTTCATATACATAAACCATACTCAATTAGAAAACATCAGAAAAGACTCCAATTCCAAAGAATCAATGTAACTTGAAATATACAAGATCCAGATGAAGACAATTTTAAACAGGCCTGAAACATAAAGGCAGCAGTTAACAAATAGAAAGGCATGTAATGTTCTTAAACAAAAATTCAGTATCATACAGATGTCGAAGTAAAGCATGGCACACAGACAATAGAATACTATATACTATGCAGCTATTTAAACTGATACTATAAATCTGTATTTCAGTATAAATTAGATCAGTGCATTAGTTGATTCCTCAATTTTTAATGTTTATTTCTCTGAATAAAATCTTACCTTTTTCTTCAAAGTCCAGCACAAGGTTAACCTTTTTTTTTTTTTTTTAACATTTATTTATTCTTGAGAGACAGAGAGAGAAAGAGCATGAGCGGGGGGGGGGGGGGGGGGGGGGATGGCGCAGAGAGAACAGGAGGCACAGGAGAGCAGGCTCCAGGCTCCGCGATGTCGGCACAGAGCCTGACATGGAGCTTAAACCCACGAACCACAAGATCATGACCCAAAGCCGAAGTTGGGTGCTTAACTGACTGAGCCCCCCAGGCGCCCCCAAAGCTACCTCTTTTATGGCCTTTCCTAATCCCAGAAATGGTACTGGTTGCTTTGTCCTCTTCATTTCCATCTCAAAAGGTTTATCACACTCTTATTCCAATTATTTTACTCTGCTTTGTTTTATTCTTTCTATGCTCATTTCCCAAACCACCATAAGCTAAGGGCAGAATCCCATCATCTGCACCACGATAGATATTTTAGTGCCTACTGGAAGCACAAATGGCTACTAAATATTTTTAAATTTTCTTACTATTACTAGTCAGAGAAATGCACTAAAGACACAACTTTAGAAAATCCTATCAGCAACAATGTAAAAGAATGGGATTACACAGTATCAATAAAGGCAGAGTAAAAGGCGTGTTCTTACGTAGCACTCCTTGGGGTCCCAGAAATCACTGTGGAAAGCAATCTGGCAGTATGAGGCCAGACCATAGGACAATTCAAAAACTCAGGCCTAGTAATTCTACTTCTAAAAAATAATGAGAAACACAGAAAGACCTCAGGTATAGAGACAGATGATTATTAGAGAATTATCTAGAATAAGGAAATGGCTGAATTATGGCACAAATTATGTAGCCAATAAAAAACTCATATAAAAAAACAGAAAGGTAATATGTCAAAATTTTGAGAGTAGTTGTCTACAGTGGTTTTAAGAAAGTTATATTTTCGGGGCGCATGGGTGGCTCAGACGGTTGGGCATCCAACTTTGGCTCAGATCATGACCTCACAGTTTGTGGGTCGTGTCAGGCTCTGTGCTGACTGCTTCGGGTTCTGTGTCTCCCTCCCTCTCTGACCCTCCCCTGCTCACACATACACTCTCTCTCTCTCTCAGAAATAAATAAAACATTAAAAAAATGTTTTAAGTTATATTTTCTTCTTTCTAATATTCTCTGTGTTCCAAAATATATTACTTTCATAGTCAGAAAACAAAGGCTAATGAAATAAAGTTAAGAATGATGGGAAGGAAGAGTCCTTACCTAGGGAAGTCACATTTCCATAATTCTCCAGCATCACATCCCAGTACAAGGCCCGCTGAATCGGGCCCAGACACTCCCATTCCTCTGAAGTGAAGCATACTGACACCTCCTCAAACATCACCAATTCCTGAAATCATAGGTATATGTGAGATTATCCACACCCAGGACCTCCCCTACTGAGCTGAGCAAGAACCGCCAAAGAGTCATAAGAAACGCCACATAAAGTCTACCCTCCAAACGCATGGACTGTGATTTAGAGACAAGAACTGGCTGGGCCCCAAACAGTCAGACTACAGAGGGCCCCTGAGGGTAGTGCAGGGAGGGTCTTAGGAAGGAAAGACGATTACCTGGGGCTGGGCTGTTAGGAGCATGAGGGCCATTAATTGATTTCTTGGGTTCTCTTCCTGGGAAAGGGCAGAAGCTTCAGGGGCAGGAGAATCTGAGGAAGGACAGAAAGCTACACGTGAAATTTCTGCTGGTCCTCCCAACTCCTCCACGTCCTGTATCTTCGACAAACAAGGAATCCAGAAAGACCCAGGACTCCCAGGTCTAGACAGTGATGGCTATACAATGACTTACAAACCTTTTCTGAGTAAGTCTGTGTCTCCCTCTCTCTCTCTCTCTGCCCCTCTCCTGCTTGCACTCTCTCTCCCTCTCTCAAAAAAAAAAAATGAATAAACATTAAAAAAAAAGCAACAATTAAAGGTCAGAGGGAGGGGCGCCTGGGTGGCTTAGACGGTTAAGCGTCCGACTTTCGCTTGGGTCATGATCTCGCAGTTCGTGGGTTCGGGCCCCGCGTCGGGCTCTGTGCTGACTGCCAGCTCGGAGCCTGGAGCCTGTTTCGGTCTGTGACTCCCTCTCTCTCTGACCTTCCCCTGCTCACGCTGTCTCTCTCTCTCTCTCCTAGAAATAAATAAAAACCTTAAAAAAAAATGTTAAAGGTCAGAGGGACCCAGGAAGGGACAAGTAGGGAAGAGGAGAAAGAACTTGGTACCATAAGGGTTTCATATATAAGACAGGAGAGGAAGCAACTAACTGGAAGTATGGGAATGAGGCATAATAAAGATCCTGAGCAAGTCCAAAGCCAGGGCCACTAAGTACCATGTTGAGGATCCTGGAGATTGAACACCACTGGGTCAGTAAAAGGATTTTGGCAAATTTCAGCTACGTGGCTGCCACTGGGCGCATGAGGAACGGCTGCTCCCGCAGTGCTCATCCCCTCCTGGAGAATGTCCTGGTCCTGAACAAGAACTGGAACCTGAGAATAAGCAAAACAAAATAAGCTGACTCTTCTTGTACCTCCAGAAAATGAACTTGCCTAACCATCATGGACCTCTTTCTGCCCACAATCTAGAACTTTGAGATCAGAGACACACCTCCAGCATGGAGCATCAAAACCGCAGCAAAGTTTTGCCTTGAGAACAATGGAACGGGCCCTCTAGCCTCACTCATGGCACCGGTGGCCTCCCCCCACTGACACTGAACAGAACGGTGGAAACAAAGCCAAACCTGGGTGTGGGCTAAGAAGTGAATGGAAGTAAATGGAAGTAACACATCACAAGGGAATGGGTTTTAGCTCTAGACCTGGTTTTAGATCAGACTTGGGTTCAATATACTCTTCCACTTATTTACCCCTTTATTCTCCCTTCCTGCTCCAAGACAAAGAACACCAGAGCCTACACATGGTTTAGTTGCTAGCTAGATACCTGACATAAGGCAGTCGGGTGAACCTTTTTCTGTCTCCATTTTCTTATCTCTCAAATGAGGATGGATTAGTACTTTATAAGGAAATAAACAGTTCTAAAATTCTTCGTTTTTATGATTAAAATAAACAAGCCCATCGCTGGCACCATTCCCAAGTTTAAGTTATGCTTCAGACTTCTTACGTACAAATGTTTCTAGTGGACTACAGATTGACAGAAAAGAGATCTCACATACACTAGGAAATATATTAAAATCCCAATTTAATGGTCAAGGATATAAAATCTTTCCAGAAGTAAATATCTCAACCCAATCCCTTGGGTCAGAGAATCCCCAGTAGGGGCCCACATGGGGAGGTACTGCCAAATTTAGAAAGCTTCATTCTTGCTCCCCACTGCCTTTTACACCAGGCTCACACCATCGTTCCAGACTTAATACAAACAATACATATGCTTCTGTATAGGGGATACTTGGAAACATTATGTTCTTCGGATTATTGAACCAAACTCAGCATTAGCAAGCATCACGCAGAAGGATAAAGCACAGTCAATGCCCTTGTGCTACTTCTGAATGGGGCCTAAGGTCCCCAGCCATAAATCCATTTCTCTGCAGATCTGCCATGATGTGAAACAGCTCACAAACCTGCTGTAATAAGCATTAGGGTGGCTAATGTGCTACTGATCCTGAAAATCACAGGATCTCCCTCCAGCACAGCTTGCCCTGGCTCAATTCTCTCCTTCCTTCCATCCCAAACTCTCTCCCCTCCCCCCTTCTCACTTTTAGTGCTGGTCCATCGAGGTCTTTCTGTAGCTCCTCTACCAGGGCCACAGCTTCCTCACCACTCCCAGGGCGATGGATCTGCACCCAGGTCCGAATCTCCCCGGGCAAGATGCTCAGGAACTGCTCCAGCACCAGCAGCTCCAGGATCTGGGCCTTGGTACGTGCTTCTGGCCTCAGCCACCGACGACAGAGCTCTCGGAGCCGGATCAGTGCCTCCTGGGGTCCAGAGGTCTCATGGTAACGTAACTGTCTAAAGTGAAGGTGGGAGGTCTCCCAAACAGAGGAGCTGCTTCCTTGGAAGCTGGTTCCCCATTTCCAGGTATCATCCTTCCCTTTAACAAGACCCTCTTGTCTCAGAGCATTGTGGGCCCAATTTTCTCTTGTCATTGTTGTCATTTAAGAAAGGCTCCTCTCCAAGCCCCCTCGATCCTTGCTTGGCTTCTTTCTTAAAGCTTGGAGAACATCATCTGGAAGACCTCAAGAAATCATTGACAACATTACCCAAAGAAATCACCAAGTTTTCGAGCCCCCAGTTTCCAGTGATGAAGAGAACCTCCCTGAACGTAAGTTTCTAGGCTCTGGACAGTGCTTCCTCTGACAGAAGCCCCTGCCCAAGGCTCTGAAGACACAGACACTCATGTTACCCAAACCACTGCTACAATCAAAGACATGAAATTCCTTTAGTCTTTTTTTTTTTTTAATGTTCATTTATTTTGAGAGAGAGAGAGAGAGAGAGAGAGAGAGAGTGAGAGTACGCATGAGCAGAAGAGCAGAGAGGGAGAAAGAAAATCCCAAGCAGGCTCTACTTTCAGCGCAGAGCTCCATGCAGGGCTTGAACTCACAAACCTTGAGATCATGACTTGAGCCGAAATCAAGTCAGATGCTTAACAGACTGAGCCACCCACATGCCCCCAAATCCCTTTAGTCTTTATTCACGGTGTCTCCTCCACCTAATTATAATAAATCCTTTATCTGCCACTCTAACAATGGGCATCCTGGCTACTCCTGTGTGACCCTGAATAAGTTACCTCACTTTTGAGTTTCGGGTTTTTTTTTTTAAGTTTATTTATTATTTAGAGAGAGAGAGAGACAAAGTAAGAGAGAATGCGCACAAGCAGGTGAGGGGCAGAAAGAGACGGAGAGAAAATCCCAAGCAGGCTCGACACTGTCAGCATGGAGCCAGACACAGGGTTCAAACCTAAGAACTGTGAGATCATGACTTGAGCCAAAACCAAGAGTGGATGCTTAACTGACTGAGCCACCCAAGCACCCCTTTGAGTCTCAGTTTCTTAACCTACAAAATAGGGGTAATGACAGTTCCTATCTCATAGACTTGTGTAAGAATTTGATATCTACATGCATTTCAAGTTTTGAACAGTGCCTGGTATATGGACTCAAAAGTTAGTTATTATCCTTCTTTAACTAGTACTCTGTCTTATGTTCTGTACAAGTATGGCCTTTTTTTTTTTTAATGTTTGTTTTTGAGAGACAGACAGCACAAGTAGGGGAGGGCACAGACAGGAGACACGGAATCTGAAGCAGGCTCCAGGCTCTGAGCTGTCAGCACAGAGCCCGACGTGGGGCTTGAACTAATGAATCACGAGATCATGACCTGAGCAGAAGATGGACATTCAACCAACTGAACCACTCGGGTGCCCCTAACAAGTATGGTCTTAATCCTGATACACATAAGACAAAATCCTAACACCTTCTCAATTAACAAAGAAAGGCTGAACTAAGTTAGCTTTGAATTCTCTGAAAATTGTTCATCCATTAATCAAAATATTTGGATACACTAGACATTTTATTATTAGCAAAACTTAGGCTTGTTGCTCTCTAAAAATCTTTTTTTAGAAACAACATTTATTGTTCTTATTACAAAACATAAAATTTGTAAAATCAGAGAAGACATACAAAACCGGAGAATGATCACCACTATTGTTTTGTACTATACTCTTCTGATCATTTCTCACTGCACCCATTTGGATCACAAGATTGGAGCCAACAGTACCGCTGGGTAACTTGCTTTTCACATGTTATCTTGTGAACATGATACCACATGGTCTTTACCATTATTTTAAGAGCATATGAGCCTATTCATACTTAAGTAGTCCCCTGCTGTTAAACATTTAAATTATTTATAATTTCCTCTTATTATAAATTAGGCCACAATGAATATCCTTGATAATGCATTTTTGGTTAGAACTCTGCTTATTTTTTCAGGAAAAGTTCCCAGAAAAAAAACTGTTGGGCTGGAAGATGTGAATAGTTTTAAGCTTTTAAAATCATAACAGTTAAATTACTATCAACGACATATAAAAGCACTCTCACTAATTTTATTTAACACTCAGACCCTTCAGGAGCATGTGTATAACTGAGCAGAGGAGGCAGAAATGTAAACACAATTTCAATACAATGTATAAGTAAAATTAATAGGAGGTCATACAAGCACAGAAAGAATTCATGGGAGGTAATTTTGGATTGAGCTTTAAAGAAAAATAAAAAGACCACTGGAGTATTAGGCAAGCCATTCCAAGAATAAAAAAAACTATGTTTTCAAAAGCATGGGAATGACAGTCAGCTCTATCAGAAATGTGCTTTGCACAAAAAGAAAAAAGAAAGAAAGAAAAAAAAAAACCACAAGAAAAGAAATGTGCTTTGCAAACCAGAAAAGGAAAGTAAACTCTGGAGGTAAGGCCACAGGAGTAGAGTGGAAAAGTAAACAGAAGTCAAATTCTAAAGGCTCTTAAGAGGCAGAACAAAGAAGTGATCATGCTATATGTGATAAGCAGACAATAAAGAGATTTTATTTTATATTTTTTCTTATTTTTTAAAATAGGTAATATTGGTTCAAAATTTAAAATTATAAAATGCATACTGTGTAGTTTCCCTCTCCCCATTAGTTTCTTATGTATCTCATGTTATCTTTACAGTTATTATGTGTATTATGTGTATATAGACATATAACAACGTGTAATATATTTTTTTTTTCCATAAACGATATAACACCATGAACCATGTACTGAATCATCCTTTTCTCAATTAACAATGTATCTTAGGAATGCCTGGCTGACTCATTCAGTGCAGCATGCAACTCTTGATCTTGGGGTTATGAGTTCAAGCCCCATGTTGGATGTCGATTACTAAAGATTACTTAAAAATAAAATCTTTTTTAAAAAAAATGTACCCTAGAGATCTTTCCTATCACATATAGCTCTTCCTGTCACAAATAGCTCCTCCTGTCTTTTTACTGATGCATAGTATCACTGTATGGACGTATTTATTTACCTACTCCATCACAGATGGGCAGTTTTCAATCTTTTCTAATTAACAATATTATCACAAAAAACTTTAGGCATACACCAATTTGCATGTGTGTAGGCATATACACGAAAATTCCTTTAAGTAGAATTGCTGGATCAAAATTTATGTGACTTTATAATTTTGATATTACCCATCAGCCTTCATTGAGCCTGGACTAATTTACAATTTACACTCCCAGCATGAGTGATATGGGAGTGCCTTTGTCCTCACTCCTCCACTAAATCTAACTTGCATTTCAAATGAATGAGTGTATTTTTAAAAGTCATTTGTACTTTATTTTCTGTGAACTATTCATATCTTTTGTTCATGTATCTATTTGAATGTTTGGTCTTGTTTATGCGTACACATTTTTTAAAGGAAAATTAGTCCTTTGTTACAATAGGAGTGGCAAGTGTTTCCTTTTGTCATGTTTTTGCCATATATCTCATGTGACTTTGCTTATATTTGTTTTGCCATGTAATCAACCCTTTTTTTCTCTCTCTCTCTTTTTTTATGGCTCTGGGTTTTGTGTCATAGTTAGAAAGGCCTTTCCCGGGGCGCCTGGGTGGCTTAGTCGGTTAAGCGTCCGACTTTTGCTTAGGTCATGATCTCGCGGTCGTGGGTTCGAGGCCTGCGTCGGGCTCTGTGCTGACTGCCAGCTCAGAGCCTGGAGCCTGTTTCAGTCTGTGATTCCCTCTCTCTCTGACCCTCCCCTGCTCACGCTGTCTCTCTATCTCTCCTAGAAATAAAAAAAAAAATTAAAAATAAAAATAAATAAATAAAAGAAAGGCCTTTCCCACCCTGAGTGTGAAGAAGTACTAACTAACCAGGTCAGAAATCTATATGGGAGGAATGATGGGGGAGAGAGTACTGGATCTCAGGAAAGCCAGTTAAGTTTTTGTAAGTCTAAACAAACGATGAAGTTCTAAACTAAGCGGCAGTAAGATAAAACAACTGAGAAAAACTGAGCAGTTCTTGGTAATTGATTTGGGAGTGATGGAAAGGAACTTTCAAAAAGGATTTCTATTCAATATTCATAGAACGAAAGATTCAATATTGTCAAAGTGCCAGTTCTTCCCAAATTTATCTACAGATTCAATGCAATTCCACTCAAAATCTCAGCAAGTTATTTTATGGGCACCAACCAATTCACTCTAAAGTTCATAGAAGAAGCAAAAGACCCAGAAAAACCAACAGAACATTCAAGAAGAACAAAGTAGAAGGACTGACACCACACAACATGACGACAGGTATTGGTGAAAGAACACACAAATTAATGGAACAGAACAGAGACCCCAGAATAGAGGCACATAAATATAGTCTTTATCAACTGTTACTTGATAAAGGAGCAAAGGAAATACTATAGAACAAAGATAGCCTTTTCAACAAATGGTGCCAAGACAACTGGACATACACATACTTACTAAATAAATAACCTAGACACAGATCTTACACTCTCACAAAAATTAACTCAAAATGGATCTAAGCGTGAAATGTAAGTGGCTCCTGGGTGGCTCAGTTGGTTAAGCATCTGACTTCAGCTCAGGTCATGATTTTACAGTTTGTGAATTTGAGCCTTGCATTGGGCTCTTTGCTGACAGTTGGGAGCCTCGAGCCTGCTTTGGATTGTGTCTCCTCTCTCTCTGCCCCTCCCCCACTCATGCTCTGTCTCTCTCTCTCTCAAAAATAAACATCAAAAAAAAATTTTAACGTGAAATGCAAAACTATGAAACTCCTAGAAGACAACATAGAAGAAAACCTAAATGATCTTAAGTATGGTGATGACTCTTTAGATGCAACACATAAAGTGTGATTCATGAAAGCTGGACTTTGATAAAATTAAAAAACTTCTGCTGTGAGGGGCGCCTGGGTGGCTTAGTCGGTTAACCGTCCGACTTTCGCTTAGGTCATGATCTCGCGGTTCGTGGGTTCGAGCCCCGCGTCGGGCTCTGTGCTGACTGCCAGATCAGAGCCTGGAGCCTGATTCAGAATGTGACTCCCTCTCTCTCTGACCCTCCCATGCTCACGCTGTCTCTCTCTCTCTCTCTCTCCTAGAAATAAATAAAACATTAAAAAAAAAAAAAAAAAACTTCTGCTGTGAAAGACAATGTCAAGAGTGTGAGAAGACAAACCACAGACTGGGAAAAATATTTGCAAAATACACGCTTATCTGATAAAGGACTGTTACCTTTTCTACACATTATACAAAGAACTCTTAAAACTCAACAATAAGAAAACAGACAACTCAATTAAAAAATGGCCCAAAGACCTTAACCAACACCTCACCAAAGAAGATATACACATTCTAAACAAGAACATAAAAAGATGCTCCACATCATACACCACCAGGGAAATGCCAGTTAAAACAGTAAGATACCATTATACACCTATTAACATGGCCAAAATCCAGAATTACTAACAGCACCCAAAGCTGGTGAGGATGTGAAGCAACAGGAACTCTTCCTTCATTACTGGTGGGAAGGCATAACGGTACAGCCAACTTTGGAAGACAGTTCTGGCAGTTACTCGCAAAACTAAACATAATCTTTAACATATCATCCAGCAGTCATGCTCTTTGGTATTTATTAAAAGGAGTTAAAAACACACGTCCACACAAAAACCTGCACACAGACGTTTACAGCAGCATTATTAATAACTGCCAAAATCCAGAAGCAACCAAGATGTCCTTCAGATGGGGAATGGATAAACTGTGGTACATTCCAACTATGGAATATTATTCAGCACTAAAAAGAAATGAGCTATCAAGCCATGAAAAGATGTGGAGGAATCTTAAAATGCCCATTACTAAGTGAAAGAAACCAATCTGAAAAGACTATCTACTGCATAATTCCAAATACATGGCATTCAGTAAAAGGTAAAACTACAGAGTCAGTAAAAATATCAATGGTTGCCAGGGGGTGGGAGAAGAGAGGGATGGGACAGGCAGAGCAGAGAGGATTTTTAGGGCCGTGAAACCATTCTGCAGGATACCATAATGGTGGAGACATTATATATGTCATTTTACATTTGTCCAAACCCACAGAATGTGTAACACCAAGAGTGAATCCTAATGTAATGCCTCTAGAATTTGGGTGATTATGACATGTCAATGTAGGTTCAGGGATTTTAACAAACGTATCCATCTGTGGGGGATGTTGTAAGTGGGGAAAGCAGTTCATAAATGGGGGGAGGAAGTATATAGAAAATCTCTGTGCTTTCTGCTCACTTTTGGTGTGAAACTACAATGCTCTAAAACATAAAGTTTATTTTGAGAAAAATAAAAAGGGGGAAAACAGGATCTTCTACAGTAAATTATTAGAACTCCTTTCTTCCTTCATAGATACAAATAAATCTTAAAACATATTTTGTAGGGCGCCTGGGTGACTCAGTCAGTTAAGCATCCGACTTCGGCTCAGGTCATGATCTCACGGTTCTTGGGTTTGAGCCCCACATAGGGCTCTGTGCTGACAGCTCAGAGCCTGGAGCCTGCTTCTGATTCTGTGTCTCCCTCTCTCTCTCTGACCCTCCCCTGCTCATGCTGTCTCTCTCTCTGAAATAAATAAAAACATTTTTAAAAAAAATTTTTTAAAAACCACACATTTTGTTTACTTCCCACAAAACGTTCGTGAACTCTAAGTTTAAAAAAAAGAACAAAAGAAGGGCACCTGGGAAGCTCAGTTGGTTGAACGTCTGACTTCAGCTCAGGTCATGATCTCACGGTTTGTGGGTTTGAACTCTGCATTGGGCTCTGTGCTGACAGCTCAGAGCCTGGGGCCTGCATCAGATTCTGTGTCTCCCTCTCTCTCTCTCTCTCTGACCCACCCCTTCTCATGCTGTCTCTGTTTTTCTATCAGAAATTTAAAAAAATTAAAAAAAAAAAACATTAAAAAGATAAAAAAGAACAAAAGAAGGCTCTGAAGAGCTAAGCAATTCACTCAAGGCCATTCGACTGGGTATTTGTGGGAACAAATTCTGAAATCAGGGATTTTAATTCCAAAAGTCCAAAATACTTCCATCTAGGGGCACCTCGGTGGTTCAGTTGGTTGGGCGGCCAACTTCGGCTCAGGTCATGATCTCACAGTTGGTGGGTTCCAGCCCGGCGTCGGGCTCTGTGCTGACAGCTTAGAGCCTGGGGCCTGCTTCAGATTCTGTGTCCTACTGTCTCTCTGACTTTCTCCTGCTCACGCTGTCTCTCCTTCTCAGAAATAAAACGTTAAAAAATATATTTAAAAAAACCCAAAATACTTCCATCTAAAAGGCTTCTGAAAGCCAAACAACACCCATTCAAAAAGCAATAGTTTCCAAACACGAGTTCATCATAAAGATTTAATCTGGCAAACTGTAAAACGAAAAATAGTTCCTATACACAGTGACTAAGAGGGGCTGGCAATGACTTTTCTTGCAAAAGACGGCACTTATTCCGAGTTTACAGTGTCAGTACTTAGCTTTAAGAAATATTCTATTGGGGGGGCGCCTGGGTGGCTCAGTCAGTTAAGCGTCGGACTTTGGCTCAGGTCATGATGTCACGGTTCGTGGGTTCGAGCCCCAAGTCGGGCTCTGGGCTGACAGCTCGGAGCCTGGAGCCAGTTTCAGATTCTGCATCTCCCTCTCTCTGCCCCTCCCCTGCTCATGCTGTCTCTCTCTCTCTCAGAAATAAATAAAACATTAAAAGAAGAAGAAGAAGAAATACTCCATTGGGGCACCAACAGACTCCTGGTTTCATTTAGGTGATGATCTCACGGTTGGTGAGACGGAGGCTTGCACCCGGCTCTGCACTGACGATGCAGAGCGGCGCCTGCTTGGGATTCTCTCTCTTCCTCTCAAAATAAATGAATAAACATTTACATATATTCCCTTAAGTAATGGAGGTATGGGTGGTGTAAGTTTGCGTTTTAAACGCCATGATACCACAAAATTAAAAGATAAAAAGTAATCCATCCCTACCAAAAAAAAAAAAAAGTCCCTGGAGTCTGGGGCCACCGCTCCAGGGACTCCCAAGCTGTGTCCACCAGCCTCAGCAACGACTGAGGAAGAGCAGAAAGGCCTGGCTACTGAGCTGTCCTCATTGTTTGGCCCGAGCACCACAGACACACACAGACCCTGGGACGCTGTCTTCACTGCCTCCGCCAAGCCGGCATCTGCCCGAGTCCACGCCGGGGCGTCCGACGCCAGCACGGAACTGAGGAGGCACTGTGCGGGGGGTCGGTGTCCGGGAGGGGTCGGCTGGGTGCGCGCTGCCCCAGGGAGCTCACGCCCGCATCTCGGGCCGCCCACCCGAACCCAGCTCACCCCGCTCACCGGGGACTCCCGCTGCGCCTCCGGGCTGGGGCCCCGCCGCCTGGGCACCGAGACGCCAGGAGATGACACGGGGACCGCACGCAACTGCGGCCGAGGATCAGAATAATGGCTGACCGGCTGGTCCCGCTACTTCCGGTTGCCCGCCAGCCCCTCCCCTCCCTGGCGCTCTGGCAAGCCACCTCTCTATGATCCCTCCCTCGTTCTCGCCGGAGTAGGCGCGCATGGCCGGGCTTCTCGGCGCTCGGGTTTTCATTCCTCCGAACGAGCGGGTGCAGGCTGTTGCGTCCCACACTTGAGGGATGCGACGGTGGAGAACGGCTCGGGCCCTCGGGACACTTGATGCCTCCTAAAGGAGCTGAACCTACCGTCTTAGCTTGTACCACTTGGACTTCTATAAAGAAGGTCATGGTGGGGCGCCTGGGCGGCTGTCAGTTAAGCGTCAGACTTTCGCTCAGGTAATATCTCGAAGTTTAGGGGTTCCAGACCCGGGTGGGGCTCTGTGCTGACAGCTCAGAGCCTGGAACCTGCTTCGAAGTCTGTGTCTCCCACTCTCTCTCTCTGTCTCTCTGCCCCTCCCCCGCTTGCACTCTGTCTCCCTCTCTCTCAAAAATAAACATTAAAAAAATAAAAATAAAATAAAAAAGCAAGAAGTGGCTGGGGAGCAGCACAAACTGTAACGGCGGCCCTTCCCAGTCCAAGAGATTGTGCAGATACTTTTGGGTACTGGAAAATAATAACTGGAAAAAGTACTGGAAGTAGTTACTACACAGATGAAGGGATTATTTCTAGACACTAAATTTTTTAAGTCAGATACTAAAAGCAGCTTCTGCTTGTTACATGAAGAATATGCCATCTGTGCTCTGTATACCACAGTCACCTCTGCCCACCTGTGAATTTTTCACAACTCTTGAGAAATGGTTCTAACCATCTTGACCATCTTCCATCTCCAGTGGGTACCATGACATCACTGGCTATTTTGTCTCGGGGCTTTCTCTTCCAGCCAGGTTTCAGGTACTGCCTGGAAGAAGTGGGTGAGAAAGAATAACAACTCCAAGAGCAACCCTAAAAGAATGACAAATAAGAATTGGTGCATAAATGCCCAAGCTTCCTGTGCTTTGACAAGAAAATTCTCAGCTACATCCCACATGGGTCCTTAGGGGACCCCAAATGAGATTGAGCCTTAATTGCTCAGGGTGGAATCACTCAATAACTCACACTTTATTGGCTTTTCCTCTATTGTCTGTCTTATTCTTCCTGCTTCTCTCTTCAGCTTCTTGGGATCACCTCCCAAATAACCTACCTATCCCTAAGTCCTTATCTCAGGTTCTGCATTTGGAGAAATCTAAACTTATAATAAACATTATAGATTCAAATAGGAGTGTGTTCTTCATGAATGCCCAATTTTGTGAAAACCCATGTACCAGTCTGACTGAAGACTGATTATCTTGTTTCAAAGGATCCAGGAGACAATTCTTTAACTTCTAGGTTAGATAGGATTTTACATAGGGACATGGATTAGCCAGCTTTATTAACACATCTCATCCTCCTGAATGGTACAGTAATGAGGAAAAAGAAGTATCCCTGGTCAAAGAGGTATCTATGGTTAAAATTTCTTACCACATGGGAAGGGATCCAAGCCCAACTAGCTAGAAGAGACTGTGAGACAAAGGTCCTCATGGAGAATGTACCTTGGTGGATGGCAGTCTGGGAGCTTCAACAACAAAAATAAATGAATCTTTACCCCAGTGTTTCACTGTGAAGGTAACTCAGTTGTTTCCTGTATATCTGTTCTCTCTCTACTTTTCCCACTGCTGCTCAGCTGTGAAGAAGAAGAATCTGTCACCCTCATAGCTTCATCATTTTAATTTCTGTTCTGTCATACTTTATTTTCTGTGGCTCCTAATGGCTTAGCTCTTTCCATACATCATTTCACCTTCAGTTCCTGCTTTTAACTACCTTATTTTTGTCCTGTTTCCAATTGAGAATTTCCATAGAGAGGTTTTCCAGCTGGATCAGCCATTACATATCATCTCTGGGCAGAGCTTTCGCCCCACCCAAGTCATAGCAGAGGCTGATTAACCTAGAGATAAGCTTCACATGGGTCTAGTGCCTGGCCCTGGTCCAATCATCTGTGGACCATTATGGAATAAGTAGGGTCCTTTGGAACAAAATATGGTTATCTCAGCTTTCTTCTCAGCCAGAGAAACCTCCTGGAAGATTATTTTGGCAAGTTAGTTTCTCTGATTGACTAGGCTAGGACAGTAGTCAACTATGGAAAAGGTAGGCTTAAAAGTCAGGAACTCAGACATCTTCAACTTCTCACATACTAAAATAGCATAATAGTTTGTGGCCCTGGTTAAGACTTGATTGAAAATAATCATAATTTTCTAGTTTAGTAATCATGACCATGATTACTCTGTCTTCTCCCATATTTGACTTGAGGTGCTTGCCACCTTTTGTCTCCTCAACATCTTCTCTGAGAGCTATGGTACCAAACAATGCGATGGTTGGAAAGGACCTTAGAGTTAATCATTTTACTAAGGATCTTACTTCTGTAAGATCACACTACAAACTTGTCTGCGTTTCAACTGCCCTTCTAACTTGACTATCGTGGTTCACCATTTGTCTGTCCTGATATCTCTTCTACTCCCCTGAATTTATCAACTTCCTCTTTTCTATTTTTTTTTTCTGTCCCTGAAGAAAAAAAAATGAGCTATTTCCAATTTCCCCTCTTGTTTTAAATGTGTCACCTCATTCCTTACCCATAATGTGAAGGGTTTTGTTGTTTTGTTTTTGTTTGGAGGTATAGGTTTTTTAGAGATTCTGTTTTTGCCACAGGACAATAAAAAATAGCAAAAGTAGTTTTCTTCTTTCTTTTGTTAGAAGATAAGAACAGAATGCAGAGTTTGGAGTTGACTCCAAAGAAGGAAATTTCTAAAAGATCAGAATCATCTAATGGGACATCAGGAGGACCCTGTGTGGTGGTTCCTGAGGGATCAGAAGCTAGATCCCTGTAAAGATACTTCCAAGAAACTAGAAGGCCAACCCTCAGATGAAGAAGGAAGTAAACTGGAAAGTGATTTCTTGGAAGTAATAAACAAGAATGTTTAAAACACACAAAAAAGATGGACATGCTGAATATAAGGAACTTAGGGAACCTCTTAATATATCCTTCTGAACATCAAGGAGTTCTGAATGAGCAGAAATTCTATTAATGTGGTAAATGTGGCAGATCTGTCAATCAGAGCTCACCCCTCATTGGGCATCAAAGAATCCACACTGGAGAGAAGCCTTAAGAGTATAATGAGTGTGGTAAAGCTGTCAGACAAAACTTTCCATCCAATGTATAGTTTATCTCAGACATTGTAATTTTCATGTCTAGAAGTTCATTTTGGATGTTTTTTATTCCTTCCATCTCTGAAAGTTCAATCTTTCCTCTAGGTTTTTGACTATGTGATATATAGTTATAATAACTGTTTTAATATCCTTGTTGGCTGATTCTATTATCTATATCAGTTTTGGGTCAGTTTTGATTGACTGATCTTGTATATCTATAAATACAGGTTGTAATTCCTGTTTGATTGCATGCCTGATAGTAAGTGTATGCCAGATATATTGATTTTTACTTTGTTGGGGTCTGGATATATTTTGTTCTTATGAATATTCTTGAGCTTTTTATAGAGAGTGATGCAGGTAATTACATAATGGTCAGAGAACATTTTTTGCATTCTTTCAATTCTCTTAAAAGTATTGAGGTTTGTTTTATGGTCTACTGTATGGTTTTTCCTGGAGAATATTCCATATGCAGTTGACAGAAATGTATATTATGCTGTTCTTGGGTTCAGTGTCCTAGAGGTGTACATTAGGTCTCTTTGGTTAAAAGTGTCCAAGTCCTCTATTTCCTTGTTGATCTCTGATTTTTCTTTTCTTTAGAGATAGAACATGAGCAGGGGAGGAGCAGAGACAGAGGAAGACACAGAATCTGAAGCAGGCTCCAAGCTGTCAGCACAGAGCCTGGTGGGGGGCTCAAACCCACAAACTGTGAGATCATGACCTGAGCCGGAGTCAGATAGTTAACCAACTGAGCCACCCAGGTGCCCCTAGGGACACTTATTTTCCACCTAAAGCCCATGACAAGTCTCACAACTTCTGTTTTCCTCTGCTCCTGGTTGACTTTTTTTTAATGTTTATTTTTGAGAGTGAGAGAGAGAGAGAGCAGGGGAGGGGCAGAAAGAGAGAGGGAGACACAGAATCTGAAGTAAGCTCTTGAGCTGTCAGCACAGACCCTGACACAGGGCTTGAACTCGTGAATCCCGAGACTATGACCTGAGACAAAGTTGGACACTTAACCGACTGAGCCACCCAGGTGCCCCTCTGATCCTAGTTGTCTTATAAATGCATGCTTTTACTGAGGGTGTACCCCTAAAAAAGCATCTGGGCTCCTTATGGAAATCTCAGTTCCAATCCTCCACTTCTTACAAGCCCACAGATTCAAATCACACCCTTAAAGCTGGTAAAATCTACGTTTCTTGGTGATCGATGTCAGCAAACTGCCTCACAGCACCCAAGGTATCATCACCCGCTTACTTTCTGGCTTCCACTTCCTCTTCATTTTAGGCTTTGTGGATTTAAAAGAATATTTAAATTTTACCCAGAATTTCTAGGTTTTGTTTTACAGCCATAGGGCTTTATGATAATGTTTTGATATACTGTTCTATTATACTTTTTAAAGACCTGAATCTTCACTTAATTCTGTGGTAAAACACTGCAAATGTGACAGCATTTTATTTCTTACTCAGTAAACTGGTTGCTAATGTGTCATGATCATACAAACATTGGTATATGTCTCAATAATTTTGTGATTTATAGGTTCTTCGGAAGGAAAAATGGACAATCATTATAAAAGTGGTTGTGTAAAGAGTCAAGGCTTCTAATGGAAAATGTTCTTCAATTCCCACTGCGAAAGTGTTATTTCATACAGTTTCCTGGACTCTGCTCCACATTTGGTGCGCCTGGGAAACTGATCTGTATGCCTGCTGTTACCTCATGTAGTTCCCAGATTCGGAATTCACTGGCCTTAGTTTCAGAGACTGGTTACACCTTTTGCATGTCTACAATCCCTGTGGCCAAACTGTGCCATGTGCATTTAACTGGTCAGTAGGAGGAGTGGGAACTAGTCAGGTCCTGCATCTGCGTTGCTCAGAAGAGTCTGCCATTACCTTTATACCCCCTCATGAGCCTATTTTCTGGAGCAGAAATGGACTTCAAGGAACACAGCTGGTTTTATACACCCATCTGAGGGCTACATAATAGTACAGATTTGAAACAGATGAGGCCAGAGAAAGGACACTTTACATTGGCTACAGAGCTCTCATTTCTGTACTCTGAGTATGAAAATAACAAGCTTCATGTTGTGTTTAAATCAGAAACAAGCCAAATCACTTCATTCCAAAAACAGCTGATTAAAGAAAAGCAAACTGAACTGTTTTCTTCCCACTCCGAACAAAGGAAGCAACAAGAAAAAAAATTCAGTGATATTTATAACAAGAACAGATTTATTGGAGGATTTATAATTATGTCCTGAAAAAACAGTTTTCTAACATCAGAGGTGACTAAAGACAGTCTAGTTCCTAAAAACAATCTAACAATATGAACATACTATTTTATTTATATTAAATTGAATTGTTTATATTAAGTAGAAAAATAAGAAGGAAGTCTATCACTGAGAATACAGAGCAAACATGAAATTTGGTGTTATGGGATTTAAATGTAACAGAATTGTTCAGCTATTTAAAGCCCTTTTGGGTTTTGATTTTCTTCTCGGTTCCAAGTAAGACCTAAAATAGTATACACCATCAATAAAAAATATCTCTAAGCCTAGGGAATTCTCTCCTCTCTATGCAGAATTCTTTATCTTTCACATTTCCCTTTAATCAAGGCTATATAAAATTTCCATACTTTCTCAACTAAAAGAAATTCTCAACTAAAATTTTTATACTTTCTCAACAACATATATATATGTATGTTTCTATTCCACACAAGAGCAATTCTACACAACCAGGATGTCTGTGGCTAAAAATGTTACCTCTTCATATTCCTCAGAAATATTCTGGGTACTGAAAACATGAATAAGTGTGAGTGCACAGGAAGCCAGTAGATAGTCTACGGCCGTACCACCCTGAATGCACCCGATCTTGTCTGATCTCAGAAACTAAGCAGGGTCAGGCCTGGCATTACTTGGATGGGGAGGAAGCCAATAAATAATAAAAACAGGGATGGGTAATACACATTCCATTTTTTAATGGAAAATAGACAAGAAATGGCAGTAAAGACAGGTAAATGGGTCGAGGGAGACAAAAACTAACAATTGAGGGGCTGCAGAGGAAGCACTCCTTTTAAGCAACAACCAGGTTTCCATTAGCACCAGAAGCTGGAAAAAACAGAGAGACCCTGAATCTAGAATGTATCATGAAAAGATCTGAAAGTGTGGTAAGAACTTCATAATTAAACTCTGACTGAAGTAAACAGCTGGCATTCTTGTAAAAGTCCCTGGAGGAAGGTGGATAATCAGTTCAAATTATTGCAGAATATTTATCTGAAAGGGTATGGGGCCCACTTATCAACATTTACTCCTGCAGCCTAAGACAAGTATCGGCCTAGAAAATGGGTGAGGGTCTATTATCATAGCTTGCCTGGGACAAGAAATCTGAAGATCTGTATTTAGATTGCTGGGTTTGAGATGGCACAGTATCCTTCCAGAAGGTATTTACTCTTGAAGATGACAAAAGTCTTTTAAGATGAAAAAGAAAGCCTATTGGACAAAAGAGTCTCAGGCCCTATGACACTGTAATAGGAAAATGTTTTGGTCATTTTACTGAGAATACCTGCTCAGTAACACAGAAAGAATCAACAACTCTGCTCAATAATAACAAATGCTCCAAAAATAACTCTTGACAGGCACACAAGAAGCCAACTGCCTGTTTTCTTAGTTTTGACAGCCAGTAGACATTAGTCATGGGAAGTTTCCATGTAGGTAATCAGCAGGTAAGGATGGTTGACATGACAAAAGGCATGGAATACTAATTACAAACACCTCCTTTAATTTTAAAAGGACACATGACAGGGGGAAAAATGATGGAAGGACCCTTA